ATTTCACCTGCTGTGCCTCAGCTCTCAAATATCCTCCCAATTCTTGTCCATCGCAGACAACATGCATTACAAACACACACACACACACACACACACACACACACACGGCAAAGGTTGACCTAATTTGGCATCAGTGAGCAGAGCACATTGCGTATCTTTTGTGTGTGTGTGTGTGTGTGTGTGTATATTGTCACAGTGGAAACAGTGCATCTTAAATCCTGTCTGTCCTACTTAAGCAGCAGGTCACTTAGGGGCGGAGCTTATGATCTCATGAAACTTGCCACAGCGAAGGGGGAACAGGCTAATGACAATATGTGATGATGCATGTTCAACTTCCCTTTCCATGGCGTAAAAAAATACAGCTCATGTTAGAAAGTGATTTTCAAAATAGCCGCAGCCAGTAGTTTGGTGACGTAGTTACTGTACTAATTTGCCGTGCTGTTATCGTACCGGTTGGCGACCAACACCGGCCGAGGTATCGCATTTCAAAGAATTCACACTTAATATCACAAATCATAATTGTGTGCAACGCAATGGATTCATTTCAACATACATAGAAGCTTCACGCTGTTTGCATCTGTCATTTGGTAACAGATCCCTAATGAAGCGCGGGGGAGCTGGCCTCTTATTGTGGCCCTTCTGTCCTTAATCCTGGCTGCTGTAAGTATGAGCATGTGAGTGTGTGTTGATGCCAAGTGTCCAACAGCGGTCGGCTGACATCTGACGTGGTCCGTGTCCCTGAGAGGAAACGTTACACTGTGTGGTCATCGTGTCTCCTAGAAGCTTCCAGCAGCCTCCAGCTTGATTTATTTATATGTACACACAGCTTCTTTCTACACCTCCTCTCCTGATCTCCCCCCTTCATCGCCATCTTCCTCTTCTCCACAGCGTTCTCCCTCTGTCCTTCATACGTATTTTCATTCTGTTTAACATCCCAAATCTTCCCTTTCTTGATTTCTACCTCCTCTGATTTCACTCTTTTTCCGTCTGTCCGTCTCCAACATTTAAAAAACCTTAATTGAAGATTTACTCACTATAGACACGTTTTAAAACTAGCTGAAACTGGACTAAACACTCCTATTGCCAAATGGACTTACTGAACCATTTATTTTTTGTATATCATAATTTTAGTCCTGTTTTGACGTAGCATTCTGAATAAAAGAGAACGGGACCATGTGTTAGCTAACACAGCTAACGAGCTAATAAAGTTAACTTGCTAGCCAGATCAGATGCCATAGTTAGAGACGCCCCACCGGCTGCCATTTTACGTCTGCCTTTGCTTGGAAGATGAGTATAAAATGTATAGTATGTATATATCATATAGTCCAGGGGTCTTCAACGTTTTTCAGGCCAAGGACCCCCAAACTGATGGCGAGATGGAGCAGGGACCCCCTATTCTACAGACTTTCGTCCGCCATCTTTTTTTTTGAGCTTTGCGCTTTTACGTGAGCGTGAACGTGATCTGATTGGCTGGTGCCTCTGCTGTCGTATCAGCATGAAAGGTGCTGTGAGTGAACCGGTGCCCGGCTTGAGAGCTGCTGTGGACTGAAAGATAATGTCTTCTCCATTAATTTATCCGTTCGCTACAATATGTTGGATTTATGTTAATGTGTAACAATAAAGAAGACAATAAATACAATTCTGATTCTGAAGACATTTAAATTTGTGGGAAAAAAATTGTCTTATCAACCAAAAATTTTGCGACCCCCTGCAGTACCTCCGCGGACCCCCTGTTGAAGATCTCTGATATAGTCAGTAAGTATCATGGAGGGATACTCATTCCGGTGAGGTGGCTTTTTCCCCTCTAATAAATACTTAGTGGCGGAGAAAGAAGATCCTGCCGAGAGAAAATCAGTATAAATGAAAATAAATATTGTCATCCTCGTTTGCTCTGCTCTCTTACTGCTGTTCCATATTTATCACAGAAATGCAAAGACAGTGGAAGGCAATTGTATTTATGCAGCACATTTCACTACAAGCAGACTCAACATGCAATACAAAAGTAGAGAAAACATAAATATATTTCAGTGTGTGCCAGTAGGATTTGGATTACTACGATAGCTTACATAAAGGGCACTTGTTGCTTTTAACTGTGTGCACCAATGAAGGTACTTTTTCGTCAAGAATAGGATTGAGACTCATAATACAGCTCTGAACCAGTGACATTATGGCAGTGACTTCAACCGTGTTACGTTTTACTTGTTGCATAAAACAAATCCTTTAAACTTGTTTAAACCTGGGTGAATGTTTGGTGGGAACACTAAACATTCTTGCAACGTTGTGTCTAGCTAAGAGCTGGCAAACACAGTCTCCACAATCGTGATGGTGAGTAAACTGGAACTTCTTCTAACGAACAGGCAAGGAACATATCAAGTCTCTCTACCTTTGAAGACCGTGAATTTAAATCATTCTGACCTCTCAAAGAACCACAAAAGCGCTGTCCTACACTGCCTGTCTCTCTTCTTACCCCCTACTCTCGCCCACCCATCTCTCTCTCTCTCTTTCTGGTGTTTCCGTGAGTGAGAGGCTGTCACCAAGGGGACGGGCTGTCATTGTCGCCATGGGGATGGGCTCCACAGAGCATCTCAATTACTGAGTGGGACAATTAATAAGCATCAAAGCCTGGTTAATATTTCACCAGCGGCGCGGAGCGGCACCCCGGCCCACAGCGCCCGGGCCCACAGGAGGTGTACGGTGGCGCGGCGGGGGGGGGGGCGCAAAAGAGGACCTGAAGCAGAGAGACGGTCCGGGAATAAGGGAGCTTGCACGAGGGGGACGGTGAGATGAGACGAGCGAGCAGAAGGGAGGACGACGTAGAAAAAAAGAACACAAACCTCAGCGCTCAAACCGTCTAAAAAGCGACTATTGGTCAATAACTAAAGTTAATATTACATACTTATGACAGTACTACCGGTCTACTTGGGTGGTAAAAAGCCTTGATTGACCCGGCCCTCTCATAATATCAAATATAATATCGTACTTCCTCGCGCAGTCTGAACTTTGCATCCGTCACTGGAGGCGGAGGAGTAAATGAAAAGAGGCGGGACAGAAGAAAGAGGAGTGCAAGGTACACGACCGAGGCCGGAAGGAGGAAGAGGATGGTTAAACGAAGGCAGGAGGGAGAGGGGGTAAGTCAGGAAGATGAGAGGGGAGGATGGGAGGTGGGAGACACGAGAGGCAGAAGTGATGAGTAATGAAGGGATAGGGGGGAGGGAATGGAAATGGGAGGGACTGTGAGCCCGGCGGTCTGATCAATGGGATGTGGTCGATCGACACGGCGATCCATATGCTCTGACCTCACTGTGGATGGCCGAGAGACGAGGTGTGTGTGTGTGCGTGTCTGTTAGTGTGTGTGTCTCTCTATTTATATGCCAGTTGTACCGGTACAGCGTAGGATTACGTAACTGTAACCCCCTCCTAACGAACCGCAACGTCTCGCAGCGAATGGTCACGGTTACTCTTACGACACACATCAGCAAAGCTCTATTACATTGTAACGTCGTTTCAGCAGAAAAATGAGCTTCCAAAGACTTCAAAAATGAGATTACAAAACCCACCACAATGAACATTTTGTTGCCTCTCTTTTTTTTACACTAGGTCATAGTCATATGTTAATCCTAATGAGAGCAGGGTCTGTTTTAAAAGCTCTGATGTTAAGGAGGTTTCCCAACAGTATAGACGTGATAAAATCATAGAATAGAAATACTATTGTAATAACACACATCAAAAATTTACTTAAGCCTGTGAAATGTAAGTATCCTATTTTCATTTTCGCGTGTATTTGAATGAACAAGGACTTTGGACCAACTGCCCTTATGAAAATGGTCGACAGTAAAGTGCGTGTACGGACGCGTGCGGCTATTTGAAACACGCGTCCGCGGCTCCCAGGATGCTCGTCCTCCATCGGCCTTCCGTCCGACGTAAAGCGAGAGCAAAACGAACAAGAATCGGAACGGGATCACATGCTAAAACTGGAGACAAACCTCGCAGACCCCATACAAATAGCTCTTTATTACCCCCCCCCCCCCCCCCCCTCCTTCACACACGGACCCACATGTGGGAACCCGACATCACAGAGCCGACGCAAAGGAGATAACCGACGAGACGCCGGCCTGCCAGCGCACGGCGAGTGGAAACCTGTTGAAGGACGTTGATCTGGGCTGAAGTCTCGCAGCATCTGCGTTGTTTTTGTGTGTGTGTGTGTGTGTGTTGCGTGACACACAGGAGGGGGGGGATGGGGGGGCTCGCCTTAAAGAATGTGAGGCATTGAGACTACAGGCCGGACCTGAGACGCCCGCATCAGAACGGCTCCTATGACGCGGCGAGAGGACGTGGAAGCCGCAGGATAAAAGCACTGGACGCTACGTGGGGGCACAAGGGGGCCAACGTTGAGCTAGTAGATGAGTTGGTTACTATCCAGACAGGATAACGCCAAATACAGATTGTGCAACAAGTTGCACTCAGTCGTAACTGAGTTACGTGTACTATCGGTTTTGAATTCAAGGGAATAACCTCAACAACATGGGATACTGACACTCAAGGTCACAACCGGTCCCCAAAGAGAAAACACCCCAGTTCCTGAGCAGGGCATTGTGCTCCCCTAAAGGAGCTCACTGGTCAGGCAGCTGTGCAAGGGAAGTAACCCAGTAACTAGTGTGAGTGTCTGTGTGTAAATTAAAGAATTCTGTTATGCAAAAATGGAAGAAATCCGCGTATTTGCTGGGTGAATAAGTCCAAAACGTCTTACTGTTTGTTTATTGCTGAGACGAGAGCCTGAGAAAGCTGAACTTATACCTCGTACCTTCAAGTAACACCATCGACTCATGCGAACAATGCAACAAGCTGGGTGGTTGCAGAGACAGCGGTTGAAATCTTCAACATATGTTTCACTGATTGAAATGTAAAACCTGTGACTTTGGGGAGCACAAAGGCTTCTTCCCTAATGCTCCGTGGGTATTGGAGCCCCCACACAGCAAAGCAGTCACGCATCGAACACATACCCAGTCCTCGTAGTGCCTGGTCCCGTTCTGCAGCAGATCCTCCAGCTGGATGGTGCAATTGGCCACAAAGTCGTCATATCCGATGGGCGCATCGTGGAAGACGGACAGCTCCAGGCTGCGACCCTCGCGGACCTCCGTGCAGAACTCCTGGTGCCAGGCGGGGCTGTTGGTCTTGGTCCTGGTTGCGGTCTGGCCGAGCCGAGTGTGGTCCAGATTGAGCGCCAGGTACGGGTCCAGCAGGAAGGAGCCGCTCTTCCCCACGGCGTGACGCAGTGCCCAAGGCGTGGGCTTCAGGTCCACCGCCTCGCACACTCGCACCTTCAGCAGCCCACTGAACACGGGCATGACTGCGGGCTCCGCGTGCGCGTGTGGAAAGACGAGCCGTGTGCGCGCGTGCGTTGGTGCGTTTGGGGCTGGTCCGCCTGTTCCTGCTCGAGTGTTTCCTTCCAACCAGCGGGGCGGCGCGAGGTGTGTGTGCGTGTGTGTGTGTGTGTGTGTGGGGTCACTGCACAGTCCCGCTACATCGCGTATCGCCGCTGGCTCCTCGGGCTCTCAGTGTAGTACAGCCATGTCCTCACACACACACACACACACAGAGACACACACTCCCACGCGTGCGCGCGCGCGCACACACGCTTACCGAACAGCTGATCTGTAATTGGGCTGAAAAACGCAGTAACAACGCAGACTCACGCCCTTCGGAGGTCGCTTTGCTGAACTCTCTCTGCCGCAGCCGCGCCTAGCCATCCGGGATTGGTGCTCCGTTTCCAGCCCCTCCGCTCGCTTCGCTCCTCTGCGGGATTAATCTCCTCGCTTCGAGACTCGCGCTACCGCGATATTTGCGCGTATTCCCGGGGAGCAACGTCTTCTTGTTTTGGCCCCTCACTGCAGTCTTTTGGGGGCTCGAGAGCACCTCAAACACATCTCGCTGCTCCTGTTGGTTTCTCTCTCTCTCTCTATCTGTTTCCCGTCCCCCCCCCTCTCTCTCTCTCTCTCTCTCTCTCTCTCTCTCTCCTGAATCCTTGAGTGAGCGTGAGCTGCAGGAAATGCGCAAAACGCGTCATCCGCACTGCCGCGCTCTCTGCGCCGGATGAGAGTGCGTGTGTGCGCGCGAGCGGATAGAAGAAGTGTTTTTTTTGTGCGCAAGAGACGAAGAGGGGGATGGAATTCACCCGCAGGCACCTTGGGTGCGTGTGTGTGTGTGTGTGTGTGTGTGTGTGTGTGTGTGTGTGTGTGTGTGTGTGTGTGTGTGTGTGTGTGTGTGTGTGTGTGTGTGTGTGTGTCATGCCGGACAGCCAATAGAGCCAGTCAATCAGTCAGTCCTTATGCATGGACACAGACAGCACACGCACGCAAAGGCACAAACACGCACGAATACTAAAGAAGCGAGTCTGAAGGGACATAACAAATGTTACAACGACACTACTATTATGTTAAAATAAATGTCTTTATTAGTTATATTAGATTACGTAATTGCAATGCAGCTACGTGCATGCGCATGTGCATGTTTTCTTGTATTGTATTTTCTGTAATAATGTTAATTATATAAAATAATGAGTGCTCTTTAACACACGATCCAAGAACAAATATGGTTATTACTGTGGTGTAAACAACATACACATGACATGTGACAGCTCCATAGAGGTCATCGCTGGGATCCTCCACTATTTGTCGCTTGATTGGTCGCAGCCGCAATCAATGAAAGTGGTTCACCATGGCAACTGTCACTCTCCATCATGGGTTGTGATGCAAGTGACTCAGATGTTTAACTCAGTCACACACAAACACGGAATTTGGTTAATGACAAATTTGATTAGTAATTGTTCTATATTTGTTTGTGTAAACAATTCGTGTTTGGATGTGACAAACAAACACCTGCACAGACTGAGGGTGCACAGTTTAGAAGAGACACATGTTCCTGCTTACTTGCAGCAAATCTAGAGATTTCAAATCAAAAAGAAATCTTCTTGCAGAAGTAAAATCACATTCTAGATGTTTTATTATTGACTCGCATGTCCTTAAAACCTGTATTTCAAATATGTCCATGTGGCCTCAAACAGCTCGACTGGCACAGAGAAACACAGAGAGCATCGTGACTCTTCTCCTCGCTGCACAGCATCTGGCCAGCTGCGCCACCTGCTGGCATGTGGCACATATCGCCAGGATGAATGACGCTTTCCGGATGTGACGTCAGGTAACGCCGCATTCAAGTGTTCCTCGTAGATTTGTGATGCGACTGGGATCGAGGGGGTTTGACTAGAGGAAATCATGATTTAGGAGTTCAGTTTGTTCTGAAGAGAATATCAATGTATGGGAGTACTCAAATCCTTTACTTGAGTAATAGTGGATGTGAGGAAAACAATACTTCAAATATATTAATTTAACTAATTTTCTCGAAAAATTACATTTGGATGAGCAGCAAAACGTAGGATACTCAAAATGAAAAGCAACTCAAGACCATAATGTTATTCTGTATATTATATTGGTATTATACACTCACCTAAAGGATTATTAGGAACACCATACTAATACTGCGTTTGACCCCCTTTCGCCGTCAGAACTGCCTTAATTCTACGTGGCATTGATTCAACAAGCTGCTGAAAGCATTCTTTAGATATTGATAGGATAGCATCTTGCAGTTGATGGAGATTTGTGGGATGCACATCCAGGGCACGAAGCTCCCGTTCCACCACATCCCAAAGATGCTCTATTGGGTTGAGATCTGGTGACTGTGGGGGGCATTTTAGTACAGTGAACTCATTGTCATGTTCAAGAAACCAATTTGAAATGATTCGAGCTTTATGACACGGTGCATTATCCTGCTGGAAGTAGCCATCAGAGGATGGGTACATGGTGGCCATAAAGGGATGGACATGGTCAGAAACAATGCTCAGGTAGGCCGTGGCATTTAAGCGATGCCCAATTGGCACTAAGGGGCCTAAAGTGTGCCAAGAAAACACACACCACACCATTACACCACCACCAGCAGCAGCAGCCTGCACAGTGGTAACGAGGCACGATGGATCCATGTTCTCATTCTGTTTACGCCAAATTATGACTCTACCGTCTAAATGTCTCAACAGAAATCGAGACTCATCAGACCAGGCAACATTTTTCCAGTCTTCAACTGTCCAATTTTGGTGAGATCTTGCAAATTGTAGCCTCTTTTTCCTATTTGTAGTGGAGATGAGTGGCACCCGGTGGGGTCTTCTGCTGTTGTAGCCCATCCGCCTCAAGGTTGTGCGTGTTGTGGCTTCACAAACGCTTTGCTGCATACCTCGGTTGTAACGAGTGGTTATTTCAGCCAAAGTTGCTCTTCTATCAGCTTGAATCAGTCGGCCCGTTCTCCTCTGACCTCCAGGCAGACCACAAGGCATTTTCGCCCACAGGACTGGATGTTTTTCCCTTTTCACACCATTCTTTGTAAACCCTAGAAATGGTTATGCGTGAAAATCCCAGTAAGTGAGCAGATTGTGAAATACTCAGACCAGCCCGTCTGGCACCAACAACCATGCCACGCTCAAAATCGCTTAAATCACCTTTCAGACATTCAGTTTGGAGTTCAGGAGATTGTCTTGACCAGGACCACACCCCTAAATGCATTGACGCAACTGCCATGTGATTGGTTGATTAGATAATTGCATTAATGAGAAATTGAATAGGTGTTCCTAATAATCCTTTAGGTGAGTGTATGCTATTGTATTACAATACTTCACAGTTTGTTTTAACTGATCATCGAATTTGTATTTATCAATGTGGTCGAATTATTAAAATCAAATTTTCAAAAATCAAGCACTGACCAAAACACTTTATTAATTTAATGTGCAAACTGTGAAAATCAACGATTCAAAGAGTTTTATAAATATGCCCAAGAAAATGTTTGAATAAAGCAATTTGCCACATGAGGTGCCAGGTAATGTGGTTAGGAATTTGCGTGTATGGTTTTTGATTCTTCCTTTTCTTGAGTAACTTCTATACTGCCATCAACAGTATTCAACATGTTGATAGCAGATAGTCTATTCCTACTGTATATGTATATTTTGAGTAAAGGGTCATATTTGATGCTTGACCCGTGCAACCGGTTGATGTCAAATCAATGAGAGCATGCGTTTATATTTAGGAAGTTTTAACTTTTCATAGATTTTAATTTCTTTGACCACTGGGGGGCGTCACTGTGGCAGAATTTGGTCACAACGCTCCAGAAGGCCCACTGTTGGTTAGCAGATGAGTGGAAATGAGAGAATAAATTTGTAAGAGCCATATTTGCCTAAGTCCAGGTTAAGAGGTGAATGTGTCTTACATGGCACATACAATGTGTATTTTGGAAAAAATTGCAATTACTTTGAAGGGATTTTTTTTTCAACATCATATGATTTGGTTCTGTGAAGGAACCGTTTGCAATTATGTCGTTACATCAAAAACTGAAATAATCCTCTTTAGACGTCTTGGCAACAATGACAAGAGTCAAACCCAAACCTCAGCGGTGGAGAAAGCGTTAAACATTCAACTTAAATGTATGCTACAATATAATCAAAAATAAAAGTCCTTCATTTCAATTTTCCCTCGCTCAAAACTATCACTCATTATGCCTGATGGCCCTTTTCCTAATAATGTATAGCATTATGTTGGATTATAATTATGCATGCGCCAATCTGTTCATTATTTTAATAGTAAAGCTGGTTCACATTTCAATTATTCTATTCATGCTGTATATAAATGTAATACATCAAGAATCTACAACTTATCATATAATACAATATTGATATATAAATATATTTAATATTTGTATTTGTTAATTCATCTTGCCTTCATCTGGATCTGCAATGTAAGTGAAGATCTTAATTAACGAGTACAGAAAAGTACATTTCGCTTGAATGGTAATAAAGCCGCACACAATGAACTCAAACATCTTAAAATGATACAGTACTCAAAAAAATGACTGCTGTTAATCCCAAATAAATCTTGAAAATGTTGAGAACTCAATCAAAAAAACGCAGGTGTCACATGTTATTTGTTATTCAAAGAAGAAATCATCCATTGTGTTTCTATTGAGAACGTTTAAATATTATGGAATAAACATAAGTCATCAAACTCTGCAGACTCACTTAAGATGCGTTGATATCTTAAATTCAGATGTGAATCACTTCCAAGGGTTTTGTAATATCACATATGGTGAGATGTTTTATTGCGAGTAAATGAAGAGCGGGCGCAACATCATATATTAAATACTTTTATTTGTATAAAATGGCAAACCTTTACTGAGTAAACAGCATCAAATTGAACATGAAGTACAACATCAGCATCACACGCAGGCTGATGACTGTGGAGTTAAGATTAAAATCACAGTCGTCGATTAAGATTACTTAAGAAGTAAAGGTGAAGGTAAAGAAACAAAAAGTTCATGAACATAACAAGAGCCAAAGGCTTCAGTGCGTATTGATTGTCTAGCAGTAGACATCCAGGGGTCTTCCAACAGTTTCATTTAAACAATAATAATAATAATAATAATAATAACAAGGTCTTATAATTAGAGAAAATGAGTGTTTATCTCACTGGCAGGTTTCAGTCAGTTACGGTCCTCCCATGTGGGGGGTCCCTGGCTTAGATTCCAAAAGGGGTCCACGGCTCGATGTCTGTTTAATCAGGTTGACGGTGTAAACTGGGTCAACAGATGTGAAACCGCCGCCACCCGGTGATGTAGTCACAAATCAAAAATGTGTTGATGGACAAAAATCAATCATTTTCTCAGGGAAAAAAAAAAGAAGAAAAAACGAATCTTGATGTGAGAACATCAGCTGCTTGGTGGGCTGAGGGTGACGTTGATGAAGCTGTTTTGAACGTTTATTGCAACCCGAAGGCTGAGCCGCCTCATTTCCCCCGAATACATCCTCTCTTCGACGGGTAAACCCACGACGGACCCGTTCGGGCCCCGAAGTCCGTTTCACATTTCAGTCTTCAAACATCCAAGTCAGAGTCACTGTCCGTTACTGAGAGAAGAGTTTCTCCATCTGCGCGCTCCCCGCTTCCGTCCGGACTGCACTCTCCTCCGCTGAAGGACCGCGCGCCGTCTGGACACATGCGGTGGTGCTGCAACCTGCGAAACGAAAAGAGCAAAGACTTAAAAGTGGGGAAGAAGTCTATGGCTTGTACCCAAATGTGTCCAAAATCAGGTCAAATGCGAAATCTGGAAAATTAAAAAAATAAAGTAATTATTACTAAAGTACTTAAGGATTGTAAAACAGCAGTTAGGTCATAAATAGTCTCCTGTGCAAAATGGTTTGCAACTTTTCATACAGGTCTGGAGGATAACCCTATAATGCCCGTGCGTTTTTATGCACGAATGGCACCTTTACAGCCTTGGCTGCATGTGAAGACTAAATTGTCTTGACGAGACGAACGAGTCAGTGAGCAATCAAAAGGGAGACTCGATATTGGATATCATGCCTTTAACAGTGGAATACAAATTCTTCTATCTCACAATATAATACAGCTGTAACAGTACAACTTGTTCAAAGACAAAGTCACTGACCTGTTTTTGGCTGCCGCCGCCCGGTCTCTCTGTCTTCGATTTTTGAACCAGTTTCCGACCTGAGTCGGTGTCAGTCCGGTTGCGTGCGCCAGCTCCCGCTTCTTCCCGGGGTTCGGGTACGGGTCCTGCAGGTACCACTCTCTCAGCAGCCCCCGTGTGCGCTCCTTAAAGCAGTGCGTCTTCTGCTCTCCGTCCCAGATGGTCCTCGGCAACGGGAACTTCTTCCTCACGCGGTACTTGTCAACGGGTCCGAGCGGTCGACCTCGGAGCTTCTCCGCCTCCCGGTAGTGAGCCTCGAGCCACATCGCCTGCAGTTTGCCGTGCGAGGTGCGCGTAAAGCGGTGCGTCTCCAGGATGTGATAGAGTTCGCGGAAGCTCCCCGTGTGGTACGCGACCACGGCGCGTGCCCGCTGCACGGACTCGTGCTCGGAGATGGAGTCTCGACCGTCCGCGGTCACCGGGAGAGACCACAGGAAGCGGGCCAGTCGCTCGATGTCCCCGGTCTCCTCCAGGGTCTCGCAGACGCTGGCGATCTGCGCTGCGGAGAAACACAAGCCCGGGAGGGCCAGCGGAGGACAGGCGGAGGGGGGGTCCTCGGGGGACCGCGAGCGCGCCTGAGTAGGGGGGCCATCCGCAAAGTGTGGCCGGAGGATCCGGGAGGCTGAGAAAAAGTCGAGCGGCGACCTGAACACCATCTGGACGTCAGAGTGAAACCTGAGAGACGGGATGTGTCTCTCAAAAGGACTGAGAGAGATCTGCTGGAGTCCGTCTCTTCAGCTCACCTAAAGGAGTCAGGGAGGGCCCCTGGATCTGACTCCTCATTGGATGCCCGGGAGCTGATGCGGGGTTGTCAGGGCAGCACTGTCAATCAAACACAGTAGATTTATCCCTTCTTTTACGCACAGGCTGGACACATGCCGCCTATATCTAACTGACACTATTGGGAAATATTCCAATAAGTAGGAAACCGAAAAAACGATTAAGTGCCCCTCGCTCGCTTTTGGCGGGATCTCTAAACACGGGATTAAAACGAGAGAGTGATAAAAACACACCGAGGGGTCAAATCAGATGTGCAAATTCGGCACCATGAATAAAACCTAGTCGATGGGGTTACGGTTGAACTTTTGAGGACGATCGATGACTGAGAAACTTTCTTTCTACAATTGTAAATATAGTTTGGCATGAATTCTTAATGTTTAGTGGCGTTTTGGGCTCCAGGTGGGCCGACGCCCCCATTGAACCTCTGGCCAAGCCACCAGTCTTTATAAGATGTTTACTGATGACTATCGAACATGTGACAGCTTTATAAACCACCTCTCTAAACCACACACAAGCTTTTTTTAACGCTAAAAGCACATATGGTTTTTCCAAAGTTCTGTTTCAACATTTTTTGTTTTTAAACATTTGATTTTTTTTGGATTATTTCTAATTGAATAGTTCTATTTGCCTCATTGTAACTTGGTTTGAAAAAAGGTCTAGGTTGTTATTATTGTTATCATTATTATACAGGTCTGCACTGCATTCCATTTCTTTACATTTGAGTCAATTGAATGACTAACTGATTATGATGTGTGTCGTTTAAAAATAAATAAAAGGGAGAAACATCTTCAAAAACTGATATCACAAACACACCTAACTTCTATTAGCTATACAGCTCATGACCTCTGAGGTCCTTCCAGTAAGCTGATTGCGTCATTAATAATAGCAGTCATGTCAACCTGAAAGCGTATGTTTCTCTAAGTGGTCTCCCTCCACTCTAATCACTTTCTAATCACTTTTCTATTCTCTAATATCCACGATTTCAGAGATAAGCTGCAGCTTCAGCTCCATTCTGTCACCTTGGATTAGCATGGGGCAACACAGCCCGCTAACATTAGTCTAATAGAGCAGCATATTCAATCAGCATTAACACATTTTGTTAGCCCGGGCCATATGCTTTGGAGTGTGCCGCTCTTAGAGTGTGTGTGTGTTTGTAAAAGAGAGAGTGGAATATCAATATGAGGTGGATATTTTTGGGCTCAGAAAAAAACAACAACAAACTTTATCGGGCTCCATCTTATTCTATCTTGTCACAAAGAAAGAAATATGCACACACACACACACACACACACAGATTTCGGCTTCAGTGCAGATGTGTTGGGCATAGAAAAGGGGGTCACCCAGCTTAAAAGGGTTAATGCCAATTACCCCAAAAGACAGATGTCCCTGAATAGTGTGACGAGTCATGTGCCAGTTTTTCACCCCTAATGAAGGTGGTAATCTCTCTTTTCTTTAAGTAAAATCAATTCAGCTTTATAGCGATAATATAATGTGCGGTTTCAGTCGGACGAACTGCACTGAAGATTGGAAAATGGAGGGGGAAAAAAATCCAGCAGTGTGGCGTTAAAAAGAGCTTCTTCCTAATCTCTGCTTGAGAGTAGAATCTATAAATGAAAGTACATGAGGTCAAAGGGATCTACCTCCGCTGGCCCACATCCTTGGGGCTCCTAAAGCGTTTCCTCTAACCTCGCCTCCTTGAACGGAGGAAGGAAATTAACTCTGGATTCGGCCATTAGTTCATTTTAAAACTTTGCATCCTAATTATTTATACAAGAGCTCTTCATGTGCCCGTGTCGGGCAGTTGATCTATTTCTATTTGCATCATTCACCGGGTTTTACAGGTTTCCCAACATCCATCTATGAGAAAAAGTTACTTTGGGCCCCACGGCATCTCGCTTGCTGGAACCCTGATTGACAGGGACGGATGTCGCAGCCAACAAAGATGTTTCTGTGTCAGTTAAGCTCCTCTTCTTCGCACATTCCCATCGGGAGGCTCATCGGGGCTCTACTTGACATACTCGAGCCCTTAGAGGATTGCAGCATGTTTCTCCGTGTGTGTGTGTGTGTGTGTGTGTTCTAACAGCAGAAACAATGGACAAACACACACAACAGTCATGGCCATGCAGGGCTACTCCAAGTTGAAAAGACATTCTCCTAATTGAAGCAGGATGGACAGACGGAACCTCGGCTACTCACGGAAACATGCTGAAGGTGTGTGTGTGTGGTGATGAGGGAGCAAGGTTGGTGTAATGGTGACAATTAAGTTAATTCAGCTACATCTCCTTTCAGCGAGGGGACAATTGGCGGGGAGGAGGGAGGAAGGCAGGGGCCGGTGGATGAATTTTCCAGGGCGGCTGCAGGAACACGGCGAGGATACGAAGTGTATCGCCTCCTGCGTCTCCTTATACCCTCGTAAACAAAAACCCTGCTCCTAATTAACCTCTTCAGTGACCTCCACAACTTAACACTGACCTCTTAAGCCCTGAAACTTTAACCCCCTCACCTCCTCTCAAGGAAGAGGCCGTGCAGCCCACCCCCCACCACCACAACTGCCTGCAAAGCCTCCTCCTCGTTAGGCCACTAATCACTTCCTGAGGCTTTGTTGTGCTTTTGTGCTCTTGCAGGGATCCAGGAGAGTTTGGAGCACAATGGTACCCCCCCAAAAAACAAGGAGGGGTAAATGTGGCGCACTGAGAAGGATGACAATTTAGAAGAAAAGGGGGGTGGGTGGATAGAGTGGGAGGTTATAGGGAACCAGTTGGTCGCCAAAACAATTATGGCAACAAATATACAATTTTCTTTCTTTTTTTCAGCAAATGCATTTATTTGCTTTCTAGCTCCAAGTTAGACGAGAGGACACCACTGAGTTTAAATGTGACGCTGCAGCCGGGAGACAGGTTAGCTTGGCTTGGCTTAATTATCCCTTAAAGTCAATTGAAAAAGGGCTGGTTTTATCTTCTCAAATATGAAGATCTTTCCTTGTCATTTGCAAAATCCTTTGGCTTTGGAATATCAGTCAAAAGAAAGCTGCACACGTGGACGGATGGATTTGAGTAACATTTGGCGTGTGTGTGCGTGTGGTCACTATTTGACACAGAAAAGAGGACCGGCATCCTCAAGTAACTGTACCTGAGAGACTAATCCTGCCCCCTAATTGGTTTGTAACCAAACACCCAACAAGTTAATCCTGCTATCTTTATTGGTGGGGCCTCAGTCCAGCTGCGTGACTGCTCAAACAGCTGGAGACTTTCTTTTTTCAGAAACATAAATACACATGTAAACACATAACCAGGTTTGTGACACACACGCAGATGCTCACAAACAATCGTCCTAACATGCCAGATGGATGACGAGCGGCGACATTAACGCACAAACACCTTACTGACAGATGAAATAACAAAACATTGGTTAATTCAACTAATAATTCCCCATGTGGTGCCCTGCTTTCTAGACTAGACTAGTAGATTAGGACAGCTGGGGCAGATGTGAAGGCACCAATTACATCTTTATCCTGTGTTTTGTTGGTGTCATTTCACCACATCATTTTAATTAATAGCCTGATGACAGCAGCCGACTGACAAACAAACCTCAACGGCCAAAAATACAAACAGCTGGCACCTCAGCAAACGTCTGGCTGTTGGGTCCGCCACGGCAGCGACACGTGGTCATGCAGATGTAAGTACACACACACACACACACAATTGCTGAACAACTAGCAAGCCCAGATTACACACAATTACTTGAGAACCCACCTGAGGAATCTGATATAGATCGGAGAGAAAATAAATGAATCTAATTAAGGATGTTTATTAAGGGGTCCAGATAGAAATATGACCGTATGATTTAAGTGAAAATAGGTATCAATGAGTTCATTTGTATTCATTCCTTATCGAATACTATATATTTTACGAGACACCATCCGAATAACGGAATTAATCTACAAATACATTTATTGTGTTATTTCTGATGTGTTTTCTGATTTGCATTCTTTTAATTTATTAATTATTGTTATCAAATGTCATATTTTCAATTACTTGTTTGGTGGTTTATTGTTCTGTAGACACAGAACCCTAACCCTATAGACACAGAACAATACACAAATGTATTGTTCTGTGTCTAACCTATATGCAATATTTAATTATGTGCCTTTTTGATACAGGTTTGATATTAGAAATAGATTTAATTGCGAATGTTTTAGTGTTTTTCAAATTAGAGAAGACATTTGTAGTGGTAAGAATAAATTAAACTAGAAATAAGGAAAGCCTAATAAATTGGAAAAAAGCAGGACAAGGATGAAACAATAAAAAGAGCAGATGAAATAAAGTGATCTTGGGGTCATAATTAGTGAAAAGAGGAGCAAAGAGGGGAGGGTCGGCTTAGCATGAGGCGCTAGCTCCTGTCCTGTCTGGTGTGGTTGGGGGTAATCTGGTCTAATATGCGGCATGTTAACCTATCTGAGCAGCAAAAGCCAGATTATCCCTCTAACAATGGCCACATGCTCATCTGCTAAATTACTCCACTCCACTAAATCATATGCTGAGACACACAAACACACAGGCCCTTCAGCATATTATATTTAATTATATTTCACCGTGCATGAATAATTCCCACTCCCTTGAGCTCTCATTTAGAGCCTTCAAATTAAATTCAGAGGCGAGCCATCTCGTTTTGAACGTGATGCCGGACCATAATCACCTGGTCAATATTTCTTTGGCACAAGGTTAATGCCACAGAAGGCAAATGCTTTTGCTGTTAAAAGAGGAGTGGGTGGAAAAAGAAGAAGAACTCGATTAAGTGCATGGAAGCAGGTGGGAAAAAAAGGTTTGGTACCTGCTAAAAAGGTGTTGGTTTTTCTATTTGTGTTATTCTGCATTTCACAGTCAAATAGGTTAGCTGACCTTTAGAGGTAAAGCGCACAAATAACCTTTTGTACTGAACACCTTCAGCGACCTTTTCAAGGGAAAATGGAATAAACACAATGCTTAAAAAGCTGCAACACATACAAATATTTCATATGAACGCTGTAACAGGAGCAGGTTCAGCGTTGCTATATAGCCTGTAAATGGAGTTTCTGAAGCAGCTGCAGCCTTTCCAACAGCTCCGGGTTGCAGGTCGAGAAATGAAAAGCCAAGAGGTTTTAAAATAAGCTGCTGAAAGAGAGAAATAAGAAAGAGGCAATTATGAATGATGCATTTTTGTAAGTAAACAAGAGTCTAAAGCCATGACAGCAACGCTTTACACCCGGGGAGGATGTTAAGAGTGCTAACATTTGCTAATTAGCACTAAATACAGAGTATACAGCTGAGGCTGATGTCATGATGTCATTAGCATCCGTTCCATAATACATATTTCATGCAAAACCACAAAAATGTCAACCTCGCGGCGGTGTTAGAAGAACAGTTAGAGGATAATAAAAGTCTGTAAGATCCATCCTCTGGGGATCACGAATCACAGAGGCAGAAATTAGACTTTTCATTTTTCTACATTTATTTCTCAGCGGTTAATACTTAATTTGATTTCTCATACATGTTTATGAGATATGATGCATTATTGCAATGCAGCTACAATTTCAACTCTTTTTCTTGTGAGTAAAACACCTTTTTTCTCCAAATAGATGAAGCGATATTTCAGTGGCTGAGTGAAAAATGTGGCCTGCAGGTGGGGCTGGAGGAAAAGCCATAAGATCTGCATCGCTATCAGAATCTATCCTCTGGGGACTATGATCATTCGATGCAAGTCTCCTGGCATTCCTTCAAATAGTTTGCAGAGAAATTTCAGTCTTGGCAAAGTGTGGACCGATCAACCAACGGCTTGCTGGATAAAGGTCTGTGAATATTCATCATGAACCAAAGAGGACGGACTCTAGATCTTGGATTTATCTTGTTTTGTTTTATGTCTCGTGGATGAAAAAGCGAAAGAGATTAAAGATGAGCAGAGGAGGGGAGCACAAAGACATTTTAACAGGTCAGTGTATTGTTTTGTAGTATCAGGCTTAAACTGGATTCAGTGGGTGAATAAGTGAGCCGGTGCACCCTGTACACCCCCCATCATCAAATTAAATTCACCCCTTTCAACCCCTTAAACACACACACACACATCATATGCACCGCCGTAACATATTGGGATCTCTCATTCACACTCCAACACACATGCTCTGCAATCCCATAATCCCTCTCCAGATTGAGAACACCTTTAAGATACGATGTGATTACCATTAGGGATTATGATCAAATTATGACAGAGTGACAGATTAGACAGGGGTTTGTGTGTGTGTGTGTGTGTGTGTGTGCGCGCGCAGCACGTAATCACAGACACACAAAATGCCTTTCCATCCTTTCAATGCATTCTGGCTTTATTTGATTTTTAGGAGAAAAGTAAAGCTATGCTCTGTCCATCTCATGTGTGCCGCTTCAATTGTTTGGGGATTTCATATTTAAATATTAGCAGTATTGAAGATAATTGCATAGCTTGACTCGAATAAACTGAGGAAATATAGAAGAAATATCAAACTAACATAGTGAGATTTGGTCTCTTCAAGCATTTGTTTTGTTCCTTTTTTATACCCATCATGAACTATTATGTAGAAATTAAAAGCAATACAAAGCAGTTAATGTCTAATAAGGCGTCTCATCTGAAAGAAAATATTACTTATAATTACCAGGGTGGCAATTCATAAAACGGTTAGAAGACACTGTATTATTCTCAGCTGAATAGATGTGAGCAGAATGTAAATACATCTACACTTTCAGGAAAGGAAAAAGCGTGCAGCTGTGATACAGTGTCACAAACTACCGTACGCCTCAGTTTGCTTTAAACCCAGACATGGAAATGGAACAAAGTATTCATGGTAAACCTGTAAGTCCGCTTGTTACCGCGTCGGGATGCTGCAGAGCTTTCCAGTGATCGGAGGTGTCTTGCTTTGTGATACAGGCCTCTGAAAGAGGAACAGAAAGAGGCCAGACATCCACAAATGAAAAGGACCTTTCTGATTAAAATACGGAGCCACCACTGGATCCTTGGCAGGTATTTTATTTCATATATAGACGCTTTCTGTAATCAAATGTGAGTGCAATCAAACAACAGCAATACAAACATTACCGATGCAGTCTGAGAACCAGGAAGTGGGTTAAAACAGGGAGTTCACTCACTCTACGTAGCCAGCAGCTAGTAACCTCATGGACAACATTTAAAAAAAAAAAAAAAATTGAAATAAAAATGACCTGGCAGGACAATCCACCCTCATGTGTACTTCCCACCATGGTGGTGGAGAGGGAGCTGGGGAAGCCCGTTTAACCCACCCCCCCCTTCCATGAGTCCCACTAGCATCTGGCTCTTCAGTGAACTAGATAACCTCCCATTTTCCCCCATCATGATTATCATCGTTACCATCCTAATAGTATCAACAACAACAACGACAAAAAAACAAAAAAGGATTCAAATCATTTCCACTTCTCACACAGCAGGAGCCAATCAGAATGCAGAGGTTCGTCAGGGTTCAGTCAGCCTCTACCGATGGCTGTACATGTGGCAACCAAAGCCCTCGTGCACCTCACGCGGTGCCCTTCCACGGTGGCACATACGTGCACAGGTGGACAAGGGGGGGGTGGGGGGGTTGGGGAGAGGGAAGGGTGTTTACGTTTTTTTTTTAAATAGTGTGTTTGTGTGTCAGAGAGAGGTTTTTTTGTTTTTTAGAGGGGAGAAGACAAGGTGTTATCAGACCCAGGAACACAGAAAAGCCCAGGAGAAGAATTACATAGAAAGTCTTTATCCACCGTCCGTCTTCTCTTGGCCCTCATCTAAACACTCGCACACACTAACTCTCTCTTGCGCACACACACACACACTATAGGTCCTTATGTCATTGTGAAGTCATGTGTTCGTTGTCAACATTCAAGAAAAAAAAGAAAGAAAAAAAAAACACCTAGATGGTGAAAATCATTTCTACCATCACAATGCTTCAGTTCATAAAACCTTGACATTTCTGAAAGGTGATTTTCATTTATCTCCAGGTTTAAAGCAGTATGCGTGTGTGTGTGTGTGTGTGTGTGTGTGTACTTGATGTCGTTGTTGTTTTTTGTCCCACTGCTGCAAACAAACACACACACACACCCAACATACGCACACACACGCACTCAAACACACACACGCGTCCTCTTCTAGTGGAGAAAGACATGGCGCAATGGAGAGACACTCCTCCTCTGGGCAGATGCACCGACCACCAGGAGGAGACAGAAGTTGTTGCCACGGCTACCAGGGGTCTTCCAACTCACCGGCACTCTGGGTGAGCAAAAAGAAAAGAAGAGTAGGAGAGAAACGTGTGCGTTAGTTTTCTTTTCATTTTTGCTGCGTCTCTCACTGCACAGTTGTAAGCTTGAACCTTATTCTGACCCCTTTAATCTACTCAAATTGAATGGATAATGTTGAAAGAAAGTGACATTCCCCTTGCATAGCCTGCACATTAACACAACCAGAACCCAGACCTCTGAAGACTCACCTTGCGGAGAATCACGAGGCCAACTGTCAAGACTGAAAAACAGGGGAGAAATGGAGAGAATGGAGTCCCTACATTCTACACCGGCTTCCCCTCCGCTTCTTTTGCCGCCAGCTAATGCAATGCAGGCATTTACTTTGCTGCTTTCGTTTTTTTAAAAAGGAGACAAAAAGATTAAGATGTCTTCGAGCAGCGGATGTGTAATTACGAGACGCGGGCTGATAGCCAACACGAGGGGAGCAAAGGGGGAGGCCTTACTTTCAGAGTGAGCGGAAAAAAAACAGCCTACACAGAAACAACACATGAAATATGGGAACGGTCCCGAGTATGTCTGGGATTTTAGGTGAAGGACTCTCTTCTACATATTTACAATGTTTAAAACACATTTGACAGGATACAAAGAGAAGAAACAGAGCTGCACAGTCAGGCTACAGAGAGTGGTACTCATACATTTGACACAAATCATTGCGTTATACCTCAAATCATCTTTATTTTGTTCATTTGTCATGTTAACTGTGTGGGAGTGATTTGGCCCACGTAACCGCATTAGAAATACAACTCAAACATTCACAAACACACATACATATGCGCAGTGCTAGCATAACCTCCCTTCCGGTAGTTAAGTGCCTTAGATATATTTTTTTGAAAAGATAAGTGCGGCGCACGCCGCGCCGCCAGGGTCGTTGGGAACAGGGCTTTACACTGGCTTACAATAACACTCCCTCCACCTGCTTTCAAAAAGGATGGGGCGGGGGGGGAGGCGGGGGGGTGAACACGGCTCAAGCTGAAACACATCCTGCCACGGTTTAGGAGCAGCGGGAACTTTCTGGATACCTGGTTTAACTGATAGCTGTACGGCGGACTGATGGTAGACACGCAAGCCTCTCGCACTGAACACACGCGTTGGGTGTAAACAACGACGCGCTGAATGCCTACAGTAGAATTCAATGCCACGACATTTTCAAGCCATGTCAGCAGTTTGACTTCAGGGCTGAAATTTCAGCTGCATGTTTGGGGGGTAAAAAAAAAAAAAAAGGAAAGAAAAAAAGAAGGGGGAGGTTAGCCCGAGGGCGTTGCAGAAAAAAAAGAAGTCACTTTTGCGTAAAGACAAGTTATCGTACATAGTGGATGTTTCATGGTGAGCGGTGACTTAAATGTACTGCATCAAATTGTGTGCTTTGAGATGAACGCAAACGAAGAGCAACTAATGTTTAAAATCCCTAAATTGTATTTTCAACTAATTAAATTCATTTTCCCAGTTATTAAGACCCAACGACTAGCATCCGACCCGCCTTTAACAGTAGTTTTTCAAGGGGGGGGGTTCTCTTGGGAGCAGAGCTCTGCAAACAGTATGTGCGGTTTAGAAACTAGCGTTGCTAAAGCCGACGCAAACGTTGAGGCACGTCACTCAAAGTAGATCAGGGGCGCCACCATCTACCCTTCTAGTTACGGTTTCTCTTTTAGTCTCATTTTAATGCCAAATTACGTTTATGGCGCAGAAGGTCGGCTGGTACTAGTAGACTGTTGACATTGGAATCTGCCCAGAAAACAAAATACAAAGTTCAACGGCTTTGTGGGTGCCGGCGAGGCAGCTTACTAAAATGTGCCGATGGGGAAATAGTCATAATGTTGGATGATAATGAATGAAATGACTCTCAAAGTATGCGCCCACCAACCCCCCCCACCCCCTTGTTCCTCTGTGCTTAAATGATTGGTCTCTTTCTCCGTCATCAGAACGCATGCAGACGCAAACACACACAGACACACACGGCCACACACACACACACACGCACGCACACACACGTTAACGCAAAAGAGTGTGTTCTGAGTTTGTAGATGGAGGAGTTCAGTGAGTTGAACACAGCTGCAGTTCAGATGGTCTCCTTTTCTTTGTCAGTTCGTCCACTGTTAGCGGGTGTGGGGGCGGGGGGGTAAAGCTGGGGGTGAGGCTGGGGAGAGAGGGGGGAGGGTGCAGGTTTCAAATGGGAACTCAGCCAGAAGCCAAAACGGGTAAATGTAGGCCATTGGAGTGCCAAGTTCGCTTTTTTTTTCTTTTCTTCACCAGCCACTTTTGCAGGTAATAACAATTTGCTACTGATCATCTTCTATGTAAAAGTGGCTGGCAAGTGTGGGAATCAAAGCGAGATGGTCAGAAGAAAGGGGAAAGAAAGCGGCCTTCTTGGGTTAAAGGTATACATGTGGCTAGGAGACAGTACTTGAATAGACAGAGGGGCCATTTTCATTTCCATTCCAGAAGTATTCATGAGGGAGGTGGTGGCTGCAGACCATCATGCAGCCGGAAGTGGCCAATGTGTCAATTCAAGTTCTGCGATGAGGAGGAGAGGTCACAGCACATCTGACTAGAGCTCTAGGGTTGCGTAAGGTATGCGGACGGGCTGCTCAATCAGAGGAGGGGTCGGACTCGGGGGCAGGCGAATCTTGGCTTGCCGCTGGCTCTGCGGTGGCAGGCGAGGGCGGGGGCGAGGGGGGAGTGGGAGGGGAGGCGGGCTGCCGCCGGCCGCCGTTGTCGTCGTCATCCAAGGTCCTCCGGCCCTCCCCTGCTCCCTCCACAGTGCTCTCCCCCCGCAGCGTGTAGGCGGCCAGGGACTCCTCCAGCACCGTGTTGTACTGCCCCCGGTGGTGCAGGCGGAACTGCCGCAGAGCCTCCAGCAGATGAGCCGCCGTGCTGCCACCTCCCTCCTCACTCTCCTCCTCTCCCCCCGCACAGGCCTGAGGTGACACGCCAGGGGTCAGACTCTGCAGGCACACTCCATGATCAAACACACACACACACACACACCGGCACAATACTCACATCATTGACACACAAATATCTACTTCACACTAACGTGACGATGTCGAGGACATTCTTGCACCAGTCAGACAAGCCCATGCAAACGCAACTCTGACCCTGTGACCAACAACCCTTTGTGATATTCACTGGATGGTGTAACAGAACAGGTGGGGCGTGTGGGGGGCCTGCAAGTCAAGACTCCTCTGACATTTATATGAGAAACACAATGATGTGCCCGCATGCACGCACACGCACACACACACACACACACGCACACACACACACACACACACACACACACACACACACACACACACAATCTCACCGCACCCTTCCAGTCTGTTGAAAAGCTGAAGCGGATCTTTTCCTGGCAGTAATTTGATTAAGATGACGAGAGGTTTCCTCCTTAGACGGCATATGGTCGTTTATATTAAGGGTTCACAAGCTGGAATCGATTTTAGCAAGAGCAGGTGCAAATGTTAAGCAACCAAAATCATCATCTGAATCTATGAAATAAAAACTTATTCTAGATTTAACAGGAGAATGTAAAATGAGAGATGCTCAGTCACCAATTTAAACGTCCCCCGGATCTAAATAAAAAAACGTTTCTATAAACGTGGCTACTTGACAGTGCAGAGCGAGAGTATGAGCGTAGTATTCCACCAGAAAAAACGTTTCACATTCATTTCCTGAAGAGTTTCGGAGCTCATCCAGGCTCTGCTTTCAAGACGTGTACGAACGTGTACGTACCTTACACCGGTGTGATGCAGAAACGTGAAGCCTCAAGTGCACACACGCACACACACACACACACACACACACACCTCCTTGTGTCGACCGGTAGCTACGCTCAAGAAAATCAACAATATTTGTACTTCTCTAAACATTACTTAAACTGTTTTGTGGGACGAATCTACACAAACAAAACTTACACTTATCATTACAAGCAGCGTTTTATGTGCAGGGGGAATCTTTACACAGGCTATCTAAATCCTTTGGGAGGTTTTGCGTGCATTTGTTGACCAGGTGCTCAAGAGGTTTACGGAGTTCTTACTGTATACTGTGTACAAAAATGGCCGCACCAATTTGATGCATTCAAAACAAGTGTTCCTTAACTCGCAACGGTTCCTCTGCCACGTCTGTCCTCCACGCTCGTTCACACTTAACGCCCGCTTTCATTCTCACACAAAAGAGTGTCCTTGTCTGGGCTGGTGTGTATGTGTGTGTGTGTCTACATGTTGAAGGGGCGAGGAGGTGAGAGCTGGGTGAGGTGAGGAGGTCGGAGAGTGATCAACTCACCCCTTCCTCTTCTCTGTGAGGATTCAGCTTGTTGTACACGGCTTCGATCACGCTCCGTCTGCAAACACACAACCGGCACACGGCTCGCTGCTTAGAGGGCAGGACAACTCGCCGCGCAACACAAACAGTCGCCACTCATTCTTAGCAAATGTATATTGATCAACATTTTAATGGAACAGAGCCGGTAATGGAGTATCCGCTCCTCATGCATCTACATCATTTCTTTTGAGCTATTTTGGACTTGCGGCTTTGACAAATTGGGAGCGTTCCAATGCTGTATATTTACTTGCTGGCCAGGCCTCCGCCAGGTGGAAGGTTGGGGATGTTCTCTGTGGCAATGCTCCTCAGGACAGACACCAGGTCAGGGACTCCCGCCTCCCCACAGTTCCCCAGTAGCTCTACACACAAAAACACAAAGAGTTTGTGAGGAGGTGTGTGGAGCACGGAGGAAAGCTCATGGGACCTCATGCTACAAGCTTTAGGTGTTAAGACAACAACCTTTCTCTGCAGAGGCTGAGACAACAAACAGTGGTGGGAAAGTGTGTGCATGCGTTTGTAACAGAGTGATTTAAAATATTTGGACTACCTGACAAAAGGTTGTTTTAGTCCTAGTTCTGTACACAGAAACTGATCACAGTGGGTGGTCTAACTACCACTGAATCATTAAACATTAATAACACTGAATAATTAAACATTAATAAGTACAGCGCACCAGCCAGTGAATGAAAAACAAATATAAAATTGGATATTCTTTTCTTCAAAAATCACTGAAATAGGGTGATTGCTTATTTCTTTCGATTAGTCGGACACCCATGTTCACTTTAAGCATATTCATTAAATTATCATCATCATTGTAATGCAGGTTAAGTAAATTTATCCACCACATTTAAGCACAGCCTGAAGATGTGCTATGAAATAATTTTAAAATTACATTAAATTCAACACATACAAATATATTTGTCAACAATATTTAGGGTGAAATGCTTCCACATCATGTACGACTTAAATCTGTGCTGCGCTTTCTTCTACGTTGGCTCTTTTTTTTCTCTCCGTGTGCATCTCCGCGACTCATTGAGTAGCGCAATAATGGCGCCACACAAACCGATAATGAAATTAGTTGACGCTTTGTTGTTGCAGCACTACACTGAAACTAATATAATCAAGAAGATAGCATTTGGAAAAAAAAAATTCTAGTCCTTAATGTCAATATGTAATGTAATATAAATGCATACAGCCTGTCTTTTTTGTGTTTGCATGTATTTGTTGTGCGTGTGTGTGTGTGTGTGTGTTGCATGCGCTGACCCTCCACACGGGTCTCCAGGTACTTATCCAATTCCTCTTCTTTCTTCACAGCCTCCTCTGAGATCTTCGGTGCTCCGGGTAAACACACCAACACCACACTCATGTTATCCCTGCTCCCCTGCAAGACCACGATAGAAAGAGACACAACAAATGAGGACATTCATTTTGTACTTGTGAATGATTAAAAAAAAATAGCAGAAACAAGAAGAAAAACAACCAGTGAATAATGTGATGAATGACTGTTACTATAAATAAGCCGAATGATGTATCAGCAGATATAAACTTAACGAGACACAGCACAGACATACACATTTTTAATACGGTTTCCTAAATATTTGAGATTTTTTACATGCATTACTGATGACAATGGTTTAAAAAAAAAGTTTTTACAATTTTCATGAAGAAGGTGATGCATTCAACCTGTTGGTTGGACTTAAAAGTATCCACACAATGAGTTGTGGTGAGTAACAATGTTTTTACACTACCTCTTACTTTATTTATTTCTACCTTTACAGTAACCAGTGTTTCCCCACACATAGAATAATTTGTGGCGGTGCGGCACAGATTCAACACCGGCCGCCACACATTGCGTTTGGTGCATTTCTTTTTTAAACGCTATTTAAATCACACAGCGCATTCGTTCAGCTGCATTTCCTTTCCCTGCTCTCCCTCAGTCTCTGTCACTCACGCGTCTCACTCACACAGACACACAGACACACATACACATACACACATACACACAGACACACAGACACACATACACACAGCCCCTCCCCGCCATGCACACCGGGTCTGTCTCGCGTGTCTTTTTTTAGCAAGCCCCGCAAAATCCCTTCCTCTGACAGAAGTTGCAGACTTTGCGCACAATATTTGTATAGGCGTGAATCCCTGTTTTGTATTTCCTCCAATAAAGTTGTGTGTTACAAATGAATATTAATAACGAATTATTCCAGTTCAGCGGGAAACCCCCTCCCCGGTCAGCCCCCACACATTGACGTTGGATCTGTGGGAAACACTGGTAACACTGCTTTTTTAATATTGTAAAATTAGGTGGTGACTTGGAAATGGCAAAAGATAAATACACTTTTGATTATTGTTTCATAATTTAATATTATTCACTGGATTAATAGATTAATCATATTGAAGCCTCAGAAAACAATGTTCACCACCTTTACCCAGAGCACACATCTTTGGTAACTATTGAGAGCTGAGAACATGATGATGCAGGTTTATAATGACCATTTTCATGCTTATCTATGTATCTCCTCTTTTTATACAGCTAAGTGAAATGTGACTGTTCTTCACAACCTGAGAATCAATATAATATTTAAAAAATACCAAATTGAGACACCAAGATATTTGGGAGCCATGTAGAAAAAGTCATGGTGTGATTGGGAAACATCAACACATTTGGAGGTCACTGCAAGAACATGTTATTATGCTGAAAACAGCTAAGGGTCCCTTGCTTTGCGTCAACAACAGGAAAGACATACGTCCTGAGTGCTCTAGTTTGCAGTTCATGAAAAGGCTACAATTGTCCTGTGGGTCACATTAGGTCATTTAAATCTTAAGAAAAAAAGAAAGTGTCTCACTGCAATGGGATTGCTAAAATGGTATTAGCATAAAGTGGACAGTAGACCTGTGGGGACCCATAGAAGCATTTTCATTCAGATATCTCAATGTAAAACAAGAGCGTTATTGAGCAAAGAATCAATATGTTTACAGTCATAGACTTTCACCTTCGATGTAAATCACACGTGAGAAATGGAGGCTTACCTTATGCAGACAGGTGTCCACCACCGCGTTACACACCTTCTCCAGGACGTCGCACACCAGCAGCCGCGAGCGGACAAAATCACACAGCTCCTCGTTGGACATGACGTCCCAGATTCCATCACACGCCAGCACCACGAACTCGTCTCCTTCGGCCGCCCGCTCCAACACACACACCTCGGGCTCGGGGCTCACCAGCTGCTCCGTGGGGCCCTTACCGTCCACACATTTGTAGTCGTAGTCCCCAAGGGCCCGGGACACGGCCAAGGAGCCGTTTACCCTCTGGATCATGACCGAGCCGCCGGCGTTTTGGATGCGCTCCTTCTCGCGGGGGTTGCAGGGCTTGTGGTCCTGGGTGGAGAAGCCCACCTTGCCGTCTCGACTCAGCACGGCCCGCGAGTCGCCGCAGTTAATGAAGTAGAGGTGGCTCGGGCTGAGCAGCACGCACACGGCCGTCGACCCGCTGCGGTCCAGGCCCTGCCGCAGGTCGGCGAAGCTGCGCATGTACTCGTCAATGTTCAGAAAGCCCGAGCGGATGCCGTCCTTCACTCCCTCCACGCAGCCGGATCCTGAACTGAAGTCGGCCCCGCCCGACAAGATGTGTTCCAGCAAGTGGCCGGAGCAGTAGTTGGCCACCCGGGAGCCGGCGTGGCCATCGTAGACAGCAAAGAAGGACCAGTCGGTGAGTCCGTGGGGGAGGCCCACCGCGGCCGTGTGGGCGTCCTCCATCTCCACCCGCCAGCCCTGCATGGAGCTCAGGCCGTAGCGCAGCCCATTGCCCTCGCCGTGGGCACTATGCTTCTCCGTCTTCGGCTTGTCCAGGAATGCACCCATTGCTGCCTACAGCTGGAGATCAACCAAGAGGAAGGGAGGGGACGGACAGAATTAAGATCATAGCAGCACCGGCAGAGACAAAGGAAGATAATCGAGCCTTCGAATCAGCCACGTTTTTCCCAAGGCACTGCTGTACCACGAATAGTGAAGAATGGTGGATGTGTTCACCCATTAGTTAAATGATTAGTTGAATCGTGGATGTGTTCACCCATTAGTTACAAAAATGAGAATATGTTGAATCAGGTTTGATGTATAACGTCTCAAAGACAATAATATAGTTTGTCAATAATTATAAAAACTAAAGGATCTATCCAATATTCTTTTTTTACATGTTTATGTAAAATATATATATATTATTCACTATTTTATATGTATTTACCAGGTTGCTTATTGTGACTGCATTAAAAAAAAAGAAGAACAAGAATCAAGAAAGTACAATTTCTTCAAGCAGTTAAACGTATTTCAAGCTTTGATGTCTATAACAACAAGGAAAACTCACTCCAATTGTCAGATCACATTATATTGTCTAGTATGTGCAATTAATCACATTCTACGTTGTCAGAAGTTCCGTGGGCCACTTTGTCCTGTGATTACAGAGTGTTTTAATTACAAAGAGGATGGTGAGCGCCAGAGATCCTGACACAAGACAAAGATAGCAGGGGAGGAACCACAGAGCGGAGGATTACCCCGCAGCGGTGAAGCTTCTTTGAGCACACGCGGCCTCTTTCACTCTGAACACAAGTTAACTAGTAGCATTAGTTAACTTGTTGGCACAATTTAGTGTGACATTACTGAATCAGCAGGGTGTGAAACTCTCCCCTGCCAAGTGTTTTGGTTCTTTGCCTCCACTTAAACCACCGAGTCGGCCGTCCTGAGTGAAGCAGTGTGTTAAAACAATCCACGGCGCTGTGTTGGTTCAGGTACAGTTAGACGTTAAAATGTGATCCCGGAAGTCTAGTTTTAGTAACAGAGCCATTAGCCGTCCATCCCGGAGTCTAGGCGCCGGAACACTTATAATAGCAAGGAGGGAGGATTTGACTGCTCCTGAAATGTATTATGCAAGGAATCGTTTTCTTTTATTGGAGTCGCTCGCGCACTAAGCTGTAGGAACATACTGGTAGATTAGTCTGTAACATTAATGCTGTAACGTTCCGCTGCATAAACCTGGGGGATCATGGCAGTGCCTTGCGTTGTGGTCGAGCAGAAGTTGAGGCAGGTTAGATTCCTTACTGGACGACGCTTTGCTGTTTTGTTGCAAGATAACGAAGCTAATAATTAGTCATTTGTTATGCAAAATGTAATAAGTAATAATAAATAATAATAAAATGAGATTAGTTATTATGTCACTAGCAGACACTTCAACCCCCCCCCCCATATCTTAACCATTCTTGGCATGCACTGTATTTTCCCAGCATACCAATCAATTATTCTCCAAATGTCAGCAGCATGAAGCCACTTACAGTGTGTATTGCATGATTATCACTAATCAGTAAAAGTCAAAAGCGCCCTGAGAACGTCTTTTTTTTTGGTTTCTCACTTCGCGGTACCTCCCGCGTGAGCGCACGCTCGGCATGACAGGCACGTACCCAAAAAAAGGCTGGTACACGCAGGGAGTGACTACAGCTGGTTTCAGGGGAACGTGCATGTGCAGGCGCGCTGGTGTCTGCTCTCCGCATGTGAGCAGTCAGTGTCACAGTCGATGTGCGAGAAAACTCTCCATAAATACGACAAGAGCGGTTTGGATTTCGTGTGCAGGGTGAGGCAGCGGGCCACGCTTTTCACATTGCTATTGCTTTCCTGCTACACACAGGTAGCCTGCATGTTCATGTACGGTGGGACACTGTGTACACACACACACACACAGAAAGAGAAATCAGTTATGTTCACCACCAGTGATTCTCTCTAAAAATAAAACAAACACACTGTCATTGCCTAGCAACCACCCACCCTGCAGGGCAAACATCCAGGCTAAGCTTTATTCAGCGACAACCCCCTCTCTACGTCTCTCTCTCCCCCGCTCTAAAACACACACACACACACACACACACACACACACACACACACACACACACACACACACACACACACACACACACACACACACACACACACACACACACACACACACACACACACACACAGAGAGACAGAGAGAGAGAGAGAGAAAGAAAAGAGTAGTTGCATCATCTATCCATTTCAGCAGTAGCAGGAGCCCTGAAAGGTGACGTGCAGACTGCAGGAACACATGCTGATACTGTGAGATCTCACTGGCTGACAGTGGTACAATAGGCTGCTGAAAAGAACAACAACAAACGCAGAAAATATCTCCATTGGGACATCAGACTGAAACCAGGAACTGTTAACCACTTAACCCCCTCAAAACTGCAGTCACCCGGCTGTAACCACAAGTCGAAACCAACACCCCCTCATACTAAGATGCACATGTCTGCCAAAAACCACTGGCTATGAAGAGGGAAGTGGAAGGTCGGGGATTACGTAGTGCGGCAGAGAGCCTGAGAGGCGTTCTGAGAGCGGGAACACTTGCCCCACACAGTCAGCGAGATTCACACAAAGCTTCCATCCTCATCCAAGCATACACAAATTAATTCTGTGTGTTGCAATACACCCGGACCCACCCAATAAAACCTGAATATCCAGCCAGTGCGATAACAGCAGCTTGGGTGGCTGCTTATAGGATTTGATTACAGTCTGCAGCAATTTTATTTTTTACCGTAACAAAGATAAGTCGATTTAAGAATTTTCCAGGACACTGTAGACCTTGAAGTGGTTGGTGGTGCTTTTGCAAAAAAAAAAAACGTTTCCGCAGCTTAAACATCAGAGTAAATAATATAGTATAGTGGGAAACCACGCTGATCAGGCCACATCAGCAAATACAGAAGCCTCCGGTTCGCCAAGTGACACAAGCGGTAAGTAAAGCAGATTGCTGAACAAAGCCCTTTTTTAGGTGAATTGCAATGAACTTTTGTGAAGTGAAAACCCTTTGAAAGAGTCATTTTCGATTTTCGATTAATCGATTTATATTCATGCGATCCAACTGAATCGATCTGTGCTCCGCAAATCGGCTTTCCGGACAACATATATCGATTACAAATCGATTGAAATGGTACATAATCGATTGTATCGATACTTGGAAACTGCACATTGGATTTAAGTACAAAAACGGTATGGAAGTGTGTTTGTTTGTTTGTTTTTTAGCACTTTAGACACGTTAAACGCTACTCGATTCAATCTGCCTGTCTGTGACGTCATCAGTACTACAGTAAACAGTAATGTTTACATTGACAATGGCACTTGATTCAAATAAAAGGTTAATACATTTGCCATTAATTGTTGTTTGCTTGTTTAAAATATCAATAATTAATTTAAACCTGATTTCCTTACAAGAAACAACAGGGATCTTGGAAACTTTGCCTGCACTGTCCAGTAAAGTTACTGAATCGGTAGAAATAAGAAATAAGGTTAAAACGCGCCTCAAGACAATGCGGGCAAAACACTTGTCACGGCTGTTTTTAAAATTTTGACTGTTAAGACAAGTCGTTCAAAACCGACAAAGCCCCGCATTTATTCTGACAACCAGCGCGAACACCATGCTGGCAGAAGATGGAAGTTAAAGGTTTGGGACACCAAACGCCTAAATGATAAACTCTCAAGACATCCAAAGGCACATGATTGTGAGAACTGTGCTATATTGAGCTGGTGCAACTAAAGAGGCGTCCTGGTGAAACAGACCCACATCCAGGCTGCATGTCCAACGACCAGAAGTGTCCCCCTCCTCACAGAGACCAAATACATCTGGCACTTCATTGAAAATTCAATACCAATCCACCAGAATGTTGCTCAAACATCAACCAATTGGGCGTTCGAAAGTATTTCAAAGACAGAAAAGGTTCTGAAAGATCCAAAGAGGATCAACATCATTCTCCGTGATAGATGAGCACATGAAGGACGATACCCGATAAATATGACACGGTCACGTGATATTTTCCCGTATTTACACAGGCGAATAGGACCACGTGAATGCACCAGTCGACTGACCAGCCCGGAGTGGATTGCAGGACAGCGAGTGAGGCATGCAGAGGATACACCGGGGTCACATTTCACAGCCGCTTTTGGCGAAGCCTCTGGAATGGTCGCAGTGTTATGGCGGATTCGGTCTTGAAATAGGGACTTTGGAGCGGGCAACGCTAAACTGGGACACGGCTCTCATTGTGTAGTTTGGCCCCCGTATAGCGGTTCTGACTTCTAAAACCACGCCCTTCTCTTGTGTCTGCTAATACCAGTGAAACCCATTAGGGTAACAGGTTTGTCTTTTTATCTGAACTGATGAACCAATTTAACTGCTACTCTGACCGCGCCTCCTTTTTGTTTATTTTATTACACACAGAACAAAGACGGTTGTGCACATCCAACATGCAGCACATCGAAATACATTATTGACCCTCCATTACTCCGTATCCCCTTTATGTGCTAATCTGCTGCAGAGTGCTTCCAAGGTCGTACATAAAACTGCTGAATGCAACAAGTCACTCTCCTGCATGCCTTCCCCGTTACATTCAGTAGGACTACTGACTACAAGGGGGAGATGACAACCAAAGGCTTTTGGATAAAAAAGTGGCACCTGAACGGTGTATGGGTCCGTTAACGGAATGTCTCGCCGCCTGTCGGCGCACGCGTTGGCTTGCTGTACTAGCTGTGTTTTTTTACATAACCAATTTGAGCATGGAGAGACGCGATGGCCACTTTTCACGTCAACACACAGGCGAAGATGAATCAAACCCTGCAAGCACTCTATTCCCCGGGACGAAATGGGGCATCGTGCTCTCCTCCTTCCGCGCTCGGTGACCCGTAAGAGGTTGCAAACGCCCTGTGGCCTCCAGACGGACGACCTTCAGATTTCAGTAAATTGTAACCATTGACTGAAGATATATCCGGTGAAATCAATCCTCGTTCCGTTTGTTTGAAGGCATGTAGTACGGTTGGGGTGCGCCGGTGGGGCGGAAAGGGGATGTTGAAAATAACGCAACGACCTGCTGCGAAAAGTTCAAACAGAACTGAACTTTGGGGGAAAAGCAAACTGGCATCAAGCTGTGCTGAACCAGCATGTAACCGGAGATCCACACGGGCCACTCGTTGGCCCAATTGGGTGTGAATGCAGCATTACAACAAAGTGGGACTTACGAAGCTACTTGTTTGAAAACGTTTTTGGCTCAAAACAGCAGCATTTTAAAACAGCCTCATTTTCAAAATGATCTGTGTACCCATGGCAACCATTGCAGACGTTTATCACATGACTATTAACATACACTGGGCACAGCAAAACCTTTTTGGGAAGCTGGCATCAGAACATGTTGGTTGGAACATGTTGAAACAGTCCCTTTTCTGCCAATTGAGTAATCCATTCATCCACAAATTGTTTCAGCCCTACAGGCCATCAAACACGGCAGCATATTTCCTAAAATATTTTTGAAACCAAGAGCACCTTCCTTCACAGGTGACTTACAAACGACAGCATGGATTACCCAGGTAATGAGATAGTATCAAGAGACACACCCATATTGTTAATCCTCACAAAGGTATAAATAACATAGTCCCAGACTTCCTGGTGATGTGTACAAATGTCTTGTTTGCCCAACCAGCAGAAAAAAAAAACCACCGGGGTATTTAGTTTACCACCTGAAACAAATTTGAAAAAAAACTGGACCAGAGATTATTACCATAAGGAAAATAGTTAATCAGATTAAAAGGAAATAGTTACAAACAACATTTTTCATTGACGATCAGATTAATTGGTAATGGGTGCCACTCTTTGACACATGATCCATCTCATCTCTCTTTCGGATGTGTTCAGGCAAATACTAATAACATGTTTTCAAACATAAAAACAATCTGAAGCTGCATTGCTATTGGCAAAGATACACCTGTCACCCAAATGCAAATGTTTCTGAATATTACATCGATTGAAACCAAAATGGGGGAAAACAGCATGGCTTGATGGTAAATGGATTCATAACCCTAACTGAATAACATACATTACCAACTGAGAAAGCTGCAGCGCAACAGATTTATCTCAGTGGCAACTGAAACATGCGTGTCACGGTTTGTAAAGCCTGTGACACATCAAGTTCCATCAGTGAAGAGCCAAGACCTCCAAGGTCTGTCAAACTCAAACTGCTTACTCAGATAAGATTATCAGCCAGTGAACTCCTCCCGTATCGCCCGTAACGCCAAGTGATGTCATGCCGGCCACCTGTGCACCTTCTCCCAATCTGATGTACCGATGGCGGTGAGCGGGGGTTGCTGCGAGGTCACATTTCAGTCGTGCACAATGCAAAATTGATGATGAGATGCAAATTCATCAAAGGCTGACTTGCTGGAACATAGCAGTGAGGTTTAAGAATGGCTTAATCATATACGATTCTCTACATTTCTCAAGGTAATAAAAATGGATGTTTGTACAGATACACGCACACACAGAGACAGTTAGAGCCTATGGACCTGCCCCTCCCTAATAAAGTTTACAATAAATGCAATATATTCTATACATTTTGGTTTCATCTTTATACCATCGGTTCTTCAGCTGCACGATACCTATAGAGCTGTATTCACTCTATAAATGCACGCCTCCTATTACCGTAGCGTCTTGTATACACAAGTTAATGTCATTAGTTTAGAGAAGTGAGGTGGTGGAGAACCGGAGTTGGCGTGTTGAAGCAACGCTGCTTGCCGCAGTAAAAGAGAATGACTGGTTACAAGCACCGTGCCATGTTGTGACTAAGGCGAAGCGCTATCTGCGCAGATTACATGTCATTTGTAAGGAATGGTTTCACGTGCGTCAACAAAGTCACACTGGTAGTGAAACCGGGGGCTCGCGCGTGTTATTATCCTCTAAGGTCACTGCATACACAACAGCCTGCGCGCACACACATATACGGCAACGTTAGCTATCGCAACTGGGTTAGCATGGGTTTTCCTTCACCGTTAATGTGTGTCTTCACTGCAAATTGAGCCCGCTAAATCGTTTACACGAACGTTACTTCATCAAGTCAACGCGAGGTGCGAGTGCGGACTGTGTAAATATAATGTTATATGGTTAGAAATACCACCACACCGCCGAGCTAACACTGCATAGCTAACCATTGACACCCATATGACAAAGTCCGCTAAGCTGTCATTAGCTGGTTATAGCTAGTGCAGCCATGCTAGATTAGCCCACAAGGGACCAGACTAAGCACTGGAGGCCAACATGTCGTTTGTCGGTTAACACAAGTGTTACTTTGCATTTACTTCATTCAAAACGGTCTTGGTCAACGTTAGCGGTGACGTTAGCCACATTAATTTCGAACTTCGGATGGTGGATCGGGTTTGATTTTGAAAACGGTCACATCGCGTTTTATGCTGAATGTAGTGATCGGTTGTTTTTTGTAAATGTGTTTCTCTGTTAAATACCGATCCAGTGACCACAGGCTGAACTCCATTCCACCGAACACTGCTCCCTCGACGGAAAGGCCCCGCTTGCTAATGTGTTGATATGAGCTAATGTTAGCTGCCTTGCTAATATTAACTTAACAGTTAACGTTAGCTAGCTGTCGTTCCCCTGCTTGTCAAACTCAAGCTAATGACGTTAGCGCATAAACTAGCGTGCTACTTACGTTTTCCTGCTGTTGCGAATGTAGATCCAATCTTGAGTATCGGCTGTATTCTGCTTTTGTGTGAAGACAAGTCGGTAACCTAGCTATCTACGGGGCTAACGTTAGCTGGCTAGCTGTGTTATGTTTCCTTATTTGACAAAAATAAACGAGAATGGCCTCAGATGAGCGGCGATAATTCCTTTCTCGGTGGTTCCCTGCTTGGACAGCGTTGATTTTTACGCATGTTTGACGCCAGTTCTGTCTCTCACATAAAATTAAGACTATTCCGATCGTTCCAAAGCAAATACGGACGCGGTAGTATTGGTTATATTATTCAACACTGACAAATCTAGCACTTTCTTCAATTGAAAGGCCAGAGCTATCCTTCGACTTTGGGTGCTGAACAAGAGGAGGTGTTATTTTTGGCTCATGCTCAGTGATTGGTTACAAGTTCAGGGCGAAACGTCGGTTAATTGGCTGTTTCTTCTGTCACTCAGCTCTGCCCCAGTCCGAAAGAGCATCCCATTGGTCCATTACCGAAGCTCTATGACGCAGTGGTTTTGGCGAAGTACACTCGTAACTGGTTTTGGCGTACGCCGAAGCGAAGCACTCGGTGTCGTTCGCGAAGTAGAAATAAGCTGTACGCTTCGGCGGTGGTCGATTGACCGCAGCCTGGAATCCGAGACTAAAGATATGAATTACATCAAATGTTACATGACTGCAATTGAAATGCGGTCATATCCTCATCCTCTGTGTGTTTAAAAGTCGCCACACTAATGCCCCGGAGTCAATAACAAGCGCAACCGGATGCTTGAAGGTTGGAGCCTCAGGTGGAGCTTCAAAATAGAAGGAAGACTTGTACCATTAAATATAATTACGTTATTATAAGACATTAAACAAAAACAAACAGCTTTATTGTAAAACTTAAGTTTCTCATTTCAAAACAAAATCAAATATGTACAAAATATCCTCAAGTGGGAAAATACATTTTATTAAATATAATGAATATGGTACAAATCTGCTTTAGCTTTATTTAAATTAGGTAATTGCTGCATTCAGGAGGCATATGTGTGTTGTACTGCATCGTATCATTTCCATTCATGACAATTTATGTTTTAATCAGCGAGAGACAAAAAACACAAGTTAAAAAAATCATACAATAATCAGGCCAATAGTTTCACACTCTTGGCTCTGAAAGATCTGAAACAGCATATGCCCGAATAATATGCTTTTGCTCCCACGTACTGGTCTGTAGAAAATGACTTCCTTGTTATGTGTTCTTGGTTTATCTGGTTTTACACGTAACCTGCCACAACATCATCATCTGTAATATATGGAAACTGACAGCGAAGCCAAGGCTGGATTACCAACGGGAAAAAGAAACAACTTCACCCTGGGGGAAGTATGAACAGGTTGTAAATCAAAACTGGGACACACCGAAAAAACATGCAATTAGTAGTAACTATAACTGTAAAATACCAAATTCCTTTCACTCTGCACTTGTGCCCTTGTAAATGAGAGTTTCCTTGTCACCGTACAGCAGAAGAGGGAGAAAAAGGAAAACATTAGAAGGTTTTTCCTTAAACTACATACTGTATATCTTTTCTGTACATGAGAAGTCAATTATTTTAAGTGAATTTTTCTGAATTCTGTTGTTTATTTGGACGTTTAGTATTTTATACCTCAATTAGAGTCAACAGCGGATATACGGCTCTAAAGAGATTTATTCAAACTGACTTGTTAGATCACAGCAGCATCAAAAGCTCTTATTCTGAGTCTAAATTAATAAATAATACATTAAAAAAATTAGGAAGTGGGTGGAGCTCTGTCATGAGTCCCCGTTTCTGGAAGTTAAACTCCACAGACAAGGCTGCGTGACTCACAGTTGGAGCCTTTCTTTGGGTTGGCTGGGCATGAAACCCTCAGAACACAACTATTGTTTTTTGAGGACAAGTTGAAGTCACATGCTTGTTAACATTAAGATGTACGGGGAAATGTTGTGGCTCCTTGTGGGCATTTCTTCAAGAAACATCCTGAGCTTAACGTTCTGTTATGTGTACCACTAACAGTGAGCTGGAGCTAAGGATTAAGGTGTTGGACATACAAACAATACAATCTGCATCTTGAATACAGATCTAAAGGAATTTGACGACTATATCGTTTAAAGAAAATGTTGAAATAGGAGTTGAAAAAGGGGAAATAAAACTCTTTTAAGCTGTGTTTTGCTTTTCCAATCGCTAATGTCTCAAACCACGAATGCCTTCCCACAATGCATTGTGTCAAGGAGGAGGCTTCAAAGGAGGCCTTTCAGAACAGGAATAAACACTTAAGCGGCCAGGCAGGTTATTTTCAAGTTGACTGAACTTTTAACTTCCAACTTAAATTTGATGAAAAACGATGAAATAAATAAAATGTAGGCTGGAGTGCATAAAACTGGGATGGGTAAAAATAAAGCATAAACATTATGAGTTATGCGTTGAAATGTGTGTGTGTGTGTGTGTGTGTGCGTGTGTGTGTGTGTTTGAAGGGGAAAGCAGGGCTTATCCGTGGTCATTTTGTGTTCCTCTCTCAGGATTAGACTTGAGTCTTGTTAATGAAAAACTCATCAGATATCAGAGCAGTTCCCTAAGGAACCAAGCAGGGTTATGAGACATAGGGCAGATTAAGAGCCCGTTGGAATACTGTGTGTGTGTGTGTGCGTGTGCGTGTGCGTGTGTGTGTGTGTGTGTGTGTGTGTGAGCATGTTACATACAGATAGAGGGTGTGAGTGAGCAGCAGAATGGTATTTCATTTACCAAGATGGGGGATTACCCCTGGCAGAATTTGATCATTCTGCTCTGATCAGGATGTTCAATCACAGCTTATCCCAAATATTAAACTCTCAATCTTTTGCCCCCCTTTCACTTCAATCCCCCCCACACCCACACACACACACATTTCCACACATACAGACTTTAAATGCCAAGCTTCTCATTGAGCAAAGTGGCCCGCTGAGCCCTCTGACGGGGCAGTGTGTGTGATTGTTCAGCCACCTGGTCACCTCAGGGGACGGGTGTGTAAAAAGGGTGGCGGGGGGAGGAGGAGATGCTGGGGGTGGGGGTCCCTGGTGGGGAGATGCTGAGCCTTAGCCTCTTACGGAGGCCGCTAAGGAGAGTAAATTAAAAAACAGTTTTGTCTAATCCGGAGCACCAAGAACAAGTGGCACACGCTGAAAAAAAATCTGATCCCTCGTGTTACATGGATCTGGAGGAGCTTAAGAACACGCAAACATTCCCCCAATTGATATGCACACATGCACTTACATGCATGCATACACACATAAATACACTGATTGTGTCCCAGGCTACCCGGATAGAAGGAGGGGGAGGGAGGGAGGAGGGCAAAGGGGCAGCGGGAGGTACGACGCCCTGATCTGCACTCTCATTTTCAGCCTGGAGATCTGCACCCGGGACATCTGGGTCACATCATTACTGCAATCTTCTGCTTGTTCATTCCCAGCTTTAAAGGGCTTAGAGTGACAGGCCTGCACACAAAATTTCACACAAAGCACACACACGCATCCAAGGACTCAGATGTAGCCCTATTTGTAAAACGTAACAATCGTTTACAGTGAAATAAAGCGTGTCTAAAGGGAATTAATGCAGTGAAGAAACCGAGCAGTGCGCAAAGGAAGACATGATTATTCACACAACAAAGACATTCCTGCGCATCACAAAATAGATTTTGTAAGAAGAATTGACCAGTGAGGCGTTTTTTTCTGCTGCGGGCAGAACCTGTGGAAAAGTTAGGAACCTCCATAGTTAGAGAGATGTATTAAAAGCAACAGGGGCTGTGAACTCCGTGCGGTGCAGTTATACCGCTCTCTAGTGGCGAGAAGCCGCTTTCACCACTGATCAGCAGTCCCGGCTGTCCCCCGCCAGAGGGCGCTGCTGGACCACACTATCCATTTCTTCCATTTCCAAATAGTATCGACTTCTAAAAGGTGTATCGATTTGTTGTCATATTACCCAATATTAAAAAAAATGGTTTCGCTGGGGTTGATAATAATTATAGAAACATAACATATTTTAGTTATCCACCCACGGAGCTCTATAGTTCTTGGTAAGAAATCTGCTGAAATCAATTAAATGCAATTAACCTGTATTTATTTTTATTATCGTCCACGTTTCCATGCGTTTAACTCGTGGGATGTCAACCGGCGGTTCTCTATCACAGAGATATTTAAGTGAGTAGAAGATCTCAGTAGTGTATTAAGATCGGTAGTAACCATCATTAGTACACTACTTACAAGGACGACTCTACTATTCTAGGAAAGTGGAAGAAGCTGAATACCTACGAATCCACGTTAAAAACTCTGCTCCAGGTGAGGCTCGAACTCACAACCTCGGCATCGCTCTGCTGAATACTGTCTTATAAGTACCGCGCGCTAACCGATTGCGCCACTGGAGCTTGGGTCAAATACCGTCCACTATTTGGGTACAAGACAATCAGCAACACAATGGAAGGACGAACACTTTGCATGTTTTCATGTGTGTCATTTAGGCCACTACTTGTGTAACGCCTTGAACCTACCGGAGGCCTCTGATCACCTCGTGGGACGCCAGCGGGGACACGGAGTCCGGCAGAAAATGTGCTGCGTTCAAGTACCTCTTACAAAGCTCCGATTTAACACCAACAATTGTGATGTTAGTGTTTAGGCTTATGCAGCTTCAAAAAACAGCACACGATTTAATAGTTAGAACAAAACTAATGACATCTGATTAGCTGACCCATCAATCTTTTTTGGACTCACATCACATCACCAATCACATATGCATAGTTGGCTACATAGGTTTGGCAACTATATAGTTTACATTGTCATGTGCAGCCATCACATTATGAGAAAACGGGTGACATGAAGAGCATTTAAAATATGCTTTTTTCTAATCCCCTGCAGCCACACATGCATATTAAGACCAATCCAATTACAACATGTCAGGTTCAGTCTAAATAATGTAATTGACACTCTCCCTTTCCTTGCGCTTTTTACATTCGGGGGGGCAAAGACAGAATAGAACATATGGTGGAAACAAAAACACACAACAGTTGCTTGACTCTGGCCAAGTTTTAAATCTTCAACCAAGTCGACGAAGCTCCCATTAACAGGTTTGTATCCTCAGAGAACTCCTCATTCCTCATCACTGTATCAAATTACCATCATTTGTGGGGGTATTTCATGACATCATCACACAGGCCATGGAGCAGAGGCTCCGTCTATCTTCCCCACCACTCACCCTCAGGAGAGCCAGAAGAGACAGAGTAGGTGGGCCGCCGCCCTTTAGGATGCAACATCACAACATGACTCATCGAGAGTGGACATCGTCATCCTGCAATTTCTTTTTTATTAGTATTCAACACATGACGTACAGGAAACACCAACATAAACATTCTGAATGAAAGAGAAGAAATCATCGGCGGAGTCTCTCTCCTCAAAGACATGCGGCGGCGATGCCAGTTTTAAAAACTCCTAATCAAACACACCCGAAGGCCGGATGGGTTCACCGGCAACTTTTTGAGGCAACGCCCTCTGGCAACATGCAGCATGGAGAGAAACTTTATCGTTGGTTTTAAGGAACAATGATGAAATATGTAAATATGCAAAAGTCTTTTTTTTGTTGATGCTTCAAAATGTTGGGTGTACATCGCAGCCTTGAGGGGAATATGACAGATCCATGCCCTTTTCTGTTACAAAGGAGGAGCTTTAGTTCCCACGTTAGGGCTAAGTGGTAGTCGGCCATAGAAATAGGATGGGTAGATTTACAAGTGCTTCAATGAGATGTACAGTATATTTTACACTGGTTCATGAGAGAAGCATATGCTGTCGGATGTAAGCTGGTTCAATATTTCATTGCCTTGTTATATTTTCAGAGCTGCAGGATTCTCATACAACGAAATGAGTCATTTCATGAAGCAATTTCTCCAGGTCATCATTCTTCAACTCCCGAGCTCCAGCTCATTCATTTTAAACTCAAAAAGAGCGTGAAAACCTGCAGGTAAAAACACCACTCAAAGCAGCTGTTCAGTTCAGTTCATAGTGCATTTTCTTTTTAACGGCAGATGTTAAAAGAACCTCAGTCCCCACAAATCCAATCCCACCCACTACCCCCCCCCCACCCCCCGCCCACACACACACACACACACCCAAATCAACTCCACAGTAATAGAACACCAAGACAGAAAAAGTCGAAAATCCTCCGTTTATGTCCAGCCATAACAACTAAGAGCAGCACACGTCAACGTCCACTCCTTCTGTCATGTGCTGCTGGCGTTTATCACCCACTCACACACACGCCAACACACACTCTCTGCATGCACCCAGATACAGTATGTACACAATCCCAGGATTACGGAAAGGCAGCACTTGCAGTCAGCGGCAAGTGTGTGTGTTTTTTTTTCTCTATTGCATCACAGCTCGGGACGCCCTTCTGTTGCCAAGCAGCTGAGGGACGGTTTGTTTGAGTCTTCATGTTTCTGCCACAAAAAAAAAGGAATCTAATGAGAGAACAGGAGGTGGGAGTGCTCTGGTAAGCGGTCAGTCGTGGATGACGATGGGGCCTCGCATCCTCAAGCTGGGGTGAGGGTGCGGGGGGGCCAGGACGAGCCCCTGCGGTGGGGCCTGGGTGACCCTGCGCAGGGCGATCTGCTCGCACGGCTGCCGACAAGCGCGCCTCAGCTGGGAGCGGGACAGCAGCCGCCTGGCCCTCCTGGAGGCGTGGAGACGAGACGGGACATAAGTGCAGAAGAAGACACACGGATGCCGAGCTAATGAGTCGGTAAAATAAACTCCAAATTGACAGTTCTTTCTTGACCTCGCAAACAAACAGAAATGTTAGCAGACTAAAACATTTAACCAGATTCAGGTTGAGTCACAATGTTTTGTGGCTTGTGCACGAGACGTCTGTGAAAGTTAATAAACAGATGCTCTAGTCAGATTGTTTTCTCTCTTCTTTCGCCAAGGAAGTCTTAACATATTGAAAAATGGCAATGTTTGGGCATTGGGGAAATTCAGATTTGATTGTTGACTCTTTTATTCATGTATTGTATTTATTTATTTACTGTGGAGATACACTTCATCTTGCCAAAGACCAGTTTCATTCTTTATGAAATACAGTAGCCGATAGCTCATGATAACATCTTCGAAGCAGGCTTCCTAAAGTCCCACAAGCAAAGCATCATGGATTACTTGTCCGAATACATTATTCATACGGAGTTGACAACAAGCTTGATGACAGGATTGCAGCCTGCAGTGAAAAAGACTGCCTACGCATAAAAAACATTGATGGGAGAGGCTTTGGGCTGTCAGTTTCACTAGATGGATCATTTGTCATGCGTGCTATTGGTTTACCAGCAGTGGGACAGTGATGCATGCAGCTGGTTGTACAAATGCTGTCTGTCATGCTGCCACTGCTTTAGCAGTGTTTCCTCTCTGTGACTGCACATCGAACGGGCAACACCTTCACATCCAAGGCAATAACTGGTGCATTCAAGACGTAAAAGGAGAAACTAATAAAGAAACAATAAAGACTGCAAACTTTTCAGTTGTGGAGGCACCAGATTTAGTAACTAGAAACAAACACTTGTTTTTCTCATTGTATTTATTGAGCATCAGTGGTGGAATGAGGGATACACTGTCATCTCTGTTACCGGGGGAAGAGAGAGGTACGTCTTTGCAGGATTTTCTGATTATTATAAAGGAGCTCGCTGGGTATATCAGGACCACAGTGGGCTTTGTGCTGTTACAACTAGGCTCACGTAACAGCACGCACTAAACTACAAGGCCACGGGCCACACGCACACTAATGGAATTCATTGACAGACAAATATGAAATACATAAACGCAACATATAGGTGATTCATGACTTCCCGCAGGCGCTCACATTCAGACTCAACGCACAGCCTTAGTCTTTCCTTCCTCGTTCGCTGCTTTCTCAGCAGCACCATGGATGTTTTTCTTGTGTTGTGAACAGGAAAACACATCCGTTCCCTCCAGATCCCAGCTGTTGATAAAATAAGCACTTGTGAAGACTCTGCACACATTCTGTGCCTGCGCATCCAAGTACAGCACGAATAGGCCCGAAGGTGGCTCGGAAAAACACGCATCTCTGAAGCATACAAGGAACATGTGAGGTCACCCGGGGGTTAGAGCGGAACAGGAACAAGAGAAGAAGAGCATAGTCAGCTCTGGTGGGACATTGACTAAAGCTAGGCTGTTTGTATGTTCAGCTGGCGCTTGAGAGGAGGAGAGCAAACGTGAATCCAACACGCTCAAGCTCATCAAGCAGGCTCGTTTACATTTCGGTTTTGCTTTCTCTCGTACTCTTTTAATATGTTCTAATATGCCTCAATTATTGTCCGAAATGCTCTCGTTTTATTTGTCACGTCAGTGAAAGTAACAGTACTTTGGTCCAGACTGAAATATCTCCACAACTATTTCAAGGATTACAACGAGATTATCTGCAAACATTCCCTAAGGAAGAATCCTAATGACTTTTTTGATCCTCTGGATTTGCCCTGTCATGAGTTTTACATTTGTTGTTCAGATAAGTATTGACTATTCAACGGATTGCTGTGACATTTCTATATTGTTTTATTCTCCAGAGGAGTGTGGATGTGCACATTTTGTAGATCCATCACCATGAATCCTGATAACGTTTTCATCGACCGCCATCCTTGGTGATATTTTTTGGTTGCCATAAAATAAAGTACAGGCATTAATATCCCCCAAACATAAATATAAAATGATTAAACAATTTGTTGATTTCCTGACTTTTCATGTTAATGCTTCACCATCAGGTCAACATTTCAGCTACATTCTCATCTTATTTTCTTCCTGTGGAGCAGATTAAAGTGAGACTTATACGTCCCTCTCAGTTTCTCAGTTTATCGCTCTTTTTGTCCCTCTTTGCTCCCCCGACTCCCCCGACTTTTCTCTGCTTAGCGAACACTGCGCTCTGCATCACACTGAGAGAGACTCAGATATGGGGAGAAAATTACCCCCCCCTCAACCCCCCATAGTCTTTCATTAGCACCCGCCTTTTCAGAGCAGAGCAAATAACAGAGTAACATAACAGAGGGACAGCAGTCAGCATGACATCTCTCTCACACACACAATCACGGCCATGTTGATAATGTAAGTGGTGAATGAGTGATCCATACGAGTGCAGCCATGGTTAATGTGGTAATGATATTTCCAGTCAGGGCCCAGGTCCGCCTGGCTCCTCGCTGGCACATCCGCACCAGTTAGCCGCGCTAATTTTAGCCTCTGTGAACTGAAGGCGGGTAAGAAGGCCGGGCGCCATGGCTCATTTAGACACAGGCTTAATGGGAGATCATCTTTCTCCCTCACATTGAGCCGCGCGAACGTTGACTCATTGTGTGCACGAGTGTGTAAGAGAGAGTGTGTGTGTGTGTGTGTGTGTGTGTCTACATGAGAGAAAAATGTACACAAAATCGTTTTTTCTCTGCGTGAAACGTAGCTGCATGTTTATTCAATCGTGAGAACAACAAAATGTGCGCAATTTGTTTGTGTTTTTAAAAATAATCATTCACAAAATATAATACCGTTTCATATTTTGATGATAAGAAAGTCTTCTATTCAAATACATTTGAATTGATTTAAACTGCGTAGGCAGGCTGCCACTCTGTTTCAACTCAATTGTGTTTTTGCGTGCGCTGTCTGAGGTCCACGGAGGACAAAGTTAACATCTGCCACGGCTCAATTCCTCTTATATGAAGCTGCAGGGCTCTCAACGTCACTTGCTTTCCCCTCTCACACACACACACACAGTCAGCCAATCGGAGGTTTGAAAAGTGTCACCTTTGCTTACCTGGTCTCCCGGGTGACGAGGAAGAAGCTGTCATCGGGGGCGTCGATCCAGTTGGGGCGTCTCTTGCGGATCATGACGCCACCTCGGGAGTTTCCACTGCTGCTGCTGCGGCCGTTATGCTACAAAAAGGCAATTATATGTTTCATTTGATTAGAAAAAGGGCTGATGCAGTTGTCCAGTATATATTTTTTAAAGCGCATAAGACACCTACCATGAGGGGTCCACCAGTTGTACCAGCGTTATCTGCAAAAAAAGAGAGAAACATGCAAAGTGTGCATGAGGGAACTGTCACTTCTGAATAGTATTGATTACTTTTTCTAGTTGTGTTTCAATTTCAACAAAAATAGTGAAGTTACCAATAAAAAACAAAATGTCAGACTGAAGTTGAATCATCCAAATAATCCAAATGACTCCCATCTGCTGATTTTTTCATTTTTTCATTGTCATTCTCTCCAACGAGCTAGTTTAGATAAGAAGTGGCAGAAAAGGTTATCAGCTCCGGGTGAGTTTCCACTAATTTGATTTTATCAAGCAAAAGGATGACGAGGACATTGGACATCAACACTGTTTGGTCCCCAAGGTTCACTCACATCACAAGTAACTCATTTAAAAGCAAGAGTAATTTTCCAATTATTGTTTTTTTTGGGGGGGGATTATCAGACCAAAACAAGTCAACTACTTTTTTGCTTCTAGGCAGGATAAAGTATAGCAATAACCCTCTTATTGGCAAATAGATCACAATAATTTGACTTACTTCTGCAGATTTGTTAAAGAAAAGCATGTCTGTGTGTGTGTGTGTGTGTGTGTGTGTGTGTGTGTGTGTGTACCTGAGCGTCTGTCCGGCTCAGCCCGGCTGTGGTGATGGTAGCTGCGTTTTCCCAGCATGCCGTGGGGGCCGTGTGGGAGGGAAGAGAGGAGGCGTCGGGGAGGAGGCGTCTGCAGGCCCTGCGTGCGGTGGGAGCGAGGGGCGTGGGCTGCTGGACGGGACTCTGGAAGAGACACCACACCGGATCAACTGGCTCCTATCGGACCGACGTCTACTTTTATCACTTTGGATCTGATTGTTATTCAGTACAACCGCGATCATGTGTGTGTGTGTGAGTGTGTGTTGATTTACCTAGAAACTGTACCACACTGGTCAGAGTGCTCCTTTGGGCGGCCCTGGTTTTGGGGAGGCGAGTCCCCTGCCCTTCCGACACCTTTAACATGTCTAAACCAAACACACACACACATTTTACAAAACCAGTGCAGTGTCCCAGTGACTTGTGATCTCCCTCTGCTCGTCTCCATCCGCTGACCCGGTGCGGCATGTCCATGCAAGTAAAAAAAAAAAAAAGCCAGGGGTTTCTTATAAACTTATAAAATAGGTGGGCAAATGAATGATGGAATAACGATGGGAAACGGTGCCTTACTTTCCGGGATGATAACAACATGTTAACAAACACAGTAAAAAATAAACACACATAACATGGAGGTATTATGACAGCAGGCACTGAAGGTCCATGATGGGGGCGGAGAGGGGGAGGGAGGGGGGGAGGGGGTCCTTATGGTTCCTCTGACTGCGGCGGAGTGGATGGACAGATAACACGAGACACATGAAGCACAAGGACTCGGAAGAGATGCTTTCAGGTGTGACTTTATTGGAGGTCTACTCGCACATTCACACAGTGATGAGAGAGAAAAGAGCAAAGAGAGGTAGAAGATGGGATGAGAATATATTGCAACAGCTGTTTGAAGAGAGGAGGTAAAGTGGAGGGAGAGAAATGGCTCTGAATGGCAAATCCTGTCTGCAGGATTCACACAGGCAACATGATGGATTCACATGAATATTGCATTAACACAGCAAGGGACCATCCAAGGGGACGTGGTCCAGTTGATGAGATGGAGATGCACCTAGCAGCAAAGAAGTCAAGAGCAGCTTGTGATAAATTGTACCAAACCAAAAAATAAATAAAGTCCTTACTTCCTTTTCAACCTCCCTTCTCTCAAGTTGCTTCAGTGCAAAACTCATCTAAAGCTCATTAGCAACACAATCCATCGTACACACGTGATTAACAACATGAGGGACTATGAGTGCGCAAAGAAACAAAAAAAAAAAGACGAGCAAAGGCCGCGGGATTCAGTATTAACGATAAACATTCGTGGCCGCAACAACTGGTTCTGCCCTGGCGCCCTTACCAGGGGCGCCGTGCAAAATAGGGCTTCTCTTAGTAAAATACACTTTCTCTACAACTAAAGTACACGGCTCAGACTAGAATATGAGTTCTATCGGATTACAGTCGTACTGGTTAATGACCAGAGCAAATTCAGTTCTTATGTGGGAGTGTCTTTCAAAGTGTGTGTGCAGGTGTGTAAGTGTAAAAACCAATACGTCTTTGAGTAAGATTACAACAAGGACCATCACAGATAAAAGAATAAAAAATAAAATACACAAAGAAACACGAATGAAATGATGATCAAAACTCATAGTTATGAGGACAGGCAGTCTTTATTGGAAACACGGGGTGGGAGAATACAAAAAACAAAATAATAATAATAACAATAATAAAAACAGAAAGGGGGACGAACGGTTGGGGGTGGGCGCAGAGATGGGGTGTTGATGGTGGGGCAGCCAGGGTGAGGAAAGGTGGTGAGAATGTGTGTGTGTATGTGTGTGTGTGTCTGCGTATGTTGTGTTTTGTCTGCGTGTGTGTCGGTGTGTGTGTGTGTGTGTCCATGTGGCAGAAGTTAGGAGGAATTAAAAGAGCTCTTACACTCTGCCTTTATGGACCCACAGTTAATGGGCACAAAGGGCCGGCGCGCGGCGCGCCGCAGCCTGATGATGTCACGGCACATGTGCCGGGCAGCTTGGTGAGGCGCGTGGCCTGCAGCAGGAAAGCCTGCTTGGTCTTCATGGAGGACTTCGGGCTGCCGCTGTTTCGCATTGGCACCATGTGGTTGGACTGGCGGGGAGCGTGACCCCGTGAGCGATGCTCCTGGGAGGGAAGGGGGAGGGGCAGAAGAGAGGCCGCTGAACATAGTTCTACCATCAGAGAACACTTTTCATCTACCGTTTACTTAATATGAGCCAAGAATTAAAAAACCCGCTGCTGCCAAAGTTGGAGCCGTTTTGGTTATTTGCTTTTACCTGATTGATGGTTATTTAGTCCAAAAAATTTACAGTCTGAGATTTTTTTGCTTCCATCAGAAAGGTTTTTTTAGGACCAGCTTTTGGCCCCTTATCCTCGTCCACTTCCAGCCTCCACACCTCCATGTATACTATTTTGAAAGTGTACTAAGATCATGCCAAAAAAAAACCACTTACTTGTTATAATAGATAACAAGGTGCGAAAATTGTATCACAACGTAGATAAGTCAATAATGAACAAAAAAAAAAACATGCTAGCTTTAAAACTAAAAGGATTTGTGGTGCCGTTGAACTCTATTGCAGCTACACAAAGACGTAATTGTAATATATTTGTCCATCCTGTTTGTGTCAATGAGGGTTACTTCACTGTCCATAAAGTTGAATCAGCAGCTTTTCAAAATCACTTAACATTACGTCCTTCATGGAGGTGGGTTTACTGTGGGCCGGTTTTATTAGACCACTTCACATAACTGCCAGTAAAGACTGGACATCGCCGAACAAAAGTGGGCAACAACAGACCTTTTCTTTCATGGCAAGTGAAATAAATAATGCTGCTGCAATACTTTTATGTGAGTCAATCCAGAGTTTCTGGTGATTGTTGATGCAAGCTCACCTGCCTTTCACAAAACATATGCTAGTAACTAAACCTCTGCAGAAAAAAAATTTGATTCCTAAGAAACAAAAGTGGAATTAAATAAAAATGAATTCAGCAATGGGAAAGGAAAACATAGCATATTCCTTTGTATGATTTCCTAAAAATATATTATTTATCGTGTGGCAGCTGTGCTGCATTTAAATACGAGTCCCAATGAAATATAGGACACATTCTGCATAGCAACAAACTCTCTTGACTGGTTCGTTGTTTCGCTGACGAAGTAGGATCCCCACGGTGGAAATTGTGTGAATTTTTGAAGATGTGACATTCAGTAAGTGATGCTTTGATCTCACTGAATAATGGATGTCGACAGCTTAAAACATCATTTGTATACTGTCGATATGAAACTTAAAATATGTTCCACGCTGTGTCCGGGCTTCTCTTAATACATAAGTAAATGAGGACGTGATTGTGTGACGTTAAATCTCCACGCTGTGTTTTACGTGACTGCATTCTGGAGGGCTTACATTGGTTGCTGGAGTGGGCGAGGTCCTCTCCTCTGGGGCCTCTGCTCTACTTGGCATCTTCAGGCCTCCGTACTTCTTCCAGTACATCCAGCATGAAATGCAGAGGCGGCACTGCATGTTCGGAGGACCCCATGAGTACCACTGGGCCGACTGCATGGCTGTTGATGCACAAACATGGTAGTATAGTAGTTTGGTTTTCTGTTGGCCATTCTTTTAAAATGATGCTTGTGAGTTATAGCTCCTCTGTTTAGGTTTAATAATATAATATTAGATACGCAATTAGAAGACATCACCATGTAACATTGTGGCATTTAACTCATTTTCTCACAATTTATAGAAACAACTCTTGCAGCTCTACACCATGCTTAGGGGAATAGATAAGTGGAATTTAAAGTGAAGGGAAATATTGATCACTCGATTAGCGGCAGGTGGCAAAATAAATGAGCAGAAATATATTGATTCTCTTCCTTCATCAGCGCTCAGTAGTGAAATATCCTTCTTTAGCTGCCTGACATCAGCATTAGTCTCCCTTGTCTTTCTAATTGACCCTTGCTCAACGCCCCTTGTGATTAAAGGTTAGACTTTCCATACTTTAAACACACAGATAAAACTCACAATAACAGCTCTCGCAGGCTCGGCCCCCGCCTGAGGCATGGTAGGCCCCGGGGCCCGCGCCATTCACTGTAGCCATCTTGCCATTGGTCATAGAGATCTGGTTGGGGTTGGGCTTGTTACTGTCACAGACAAGGAGGAGGTTTAGAAACGGACAAAGGGGGCCGCTGGCCGTTTTGCAACAAAACACCAAATGTGCATTAAAAAGCCACGGTATCGCTAATGATCCCTACATCTAGGAAATGTAAATAAAGTGACTTACTATGTGGGGATATAAACCTGCTTCAGTTTGCTCTCTGCCTCTGCTGCCTTAAGCCTTTTCTGCTCAGGGAGACACACAGAGGATGGACATTAATGACAACACAAATCAACTGTACAAAAATCCTGTCGGACCGTTCGACAGCTCTCATAATTTAACTAGATAGTCATTACAATGATTAATATCTAATGCATAAATACATATCAACGGGTGTTGTTTACTTTGTTATTGCTAGTGTTTGCAGTCACACTTCTCTGGTAATCATAATGAATAAAAACTTTAAATTCGTGTTGCAAGTTCTGCTGATTCTCTCATCCAAATTGAGCCATACAGGGCAGGCAGGTGGTCTAATGGAAGATAGGCCTTATTTCAATTGGACACAACATTTCTTAAGTCTAATTTATTGTATAGAATGAAATTCAAGATTTCTCAGCTTCTGATTCATTTTGATCATTAAGTTCACCAACTTCATTGTAGTGGAAAACTAAATAACTGGAGAACCAATACAATACCAATACATGTGCACAGAAGACATGCAAAACATAAGTAAACACGCATGTAACATGAGCAGACAACCTAAATTAAACACAGGATGAAGGACAACTGAAAAGCTTTAAGAATGTCCCTTGAACAGCAGACATTCAAGAAATACCGGCTCTGCAATTTCCGATTTAGTCTCACCTGTTGCACATATCTGTCTGTGGTCTTCCACATGTAGTAGTACTCTATGATACTGGTCAGAGACTTCCAAGGCAGCTTCACAAGAGGACATAATGAAAAGATGTGGGGACAGAGAGAGAGAGAGAGAGAGAGAGGGGGAGAAAGAGAGCAAATTAATGATATCAATATCTCATGTTCCTGCCATCTTGGTGCAAAAGCCTTCATAAATATTAATGAGAGTCGTCGCGAACCAGAGGTTGGTTCTGAGCCCCATAACCAAACACGCACACACATTCACGGACGGACACACACAGCGATCATAGTCATGAGCACCTGGTGCCACCACATACACCCATATTCCGTCTGTATTGTACATGTAGGAAGTGGGAAGTGAAGTTCAATAGAAATAAATGGTGAGCTGTGTAGGCTTGAAAGGCGGCAGTTAACATTGACTGTATCTCATTTACAAAACAGTGGTCATGTAGAATTCATGGAGATTACATTGAATTCCCATTTTGACAAGTTTTTTGCAGAGGAAGAAGGACCCAAACTTTCACCAAAGCTTTTAGAAACACTCCACAGTACATTAATATGCTACATAAGTTTCAAACAGTCACAGTTGAGTCCAGGAGGATAATATTAAGGACAGACTGAGCTACTTATAACATATTTGTAAAACACACCTGAGCACCAAACATCACAGTGGTAGTTTGCTGATTCTTGTGAGTGACTTCAAGCCGACCATGTGAGCGCAGTCATACGAACACACTTACAAAGTCTTGTCGGATGTCGTTGAAGTCTTTTCCGTATTTCTCTAGTGCCTCCTCAAACATGGCGGCTTCCGAGGCGCTCCACTCCTCCATCTCGTCCCTGCAGAGCACCGGGCCGCCTGCTGGGACCAGCACACTCAGCGCACTGGAGAGGTCGTAATTATGACGATGCAGCGTGTCCATGGCATGGAACTGGGGAACAAAGATTGGGCACGGAGAATGGGGGGGTTACAACTCATTGTGCATGTCACAGGTCCCGCAGAGTGCGAGGGCGCGTTTGTCCCAGTCGGTCTGCTCCACTCACCAGTGTGATATCTCGTGAGGCTGCGGCTGCACTCATGTGTAAGCTCGGCTGTCGCACTGAGCTGCTGCAGTCCAACGCTCGAGCGAAGGTCCCGACCGCCCTGGAGAACGACGCGCGCACATTAAAAACTGGCGGGTCGTGAAGGATCATGAAGACGTTGGGATTCATGTGCCAGTTCACTGACTATGTTACGTTATGTTGCTTCCTCGTCACAAGCAACCAGGTCAAAAAGAGGCCGCGGTGTCATATTTGATTACATCGTTGGGCTACAAAAACAAACACCATAAAATCCCGGTTGCATTTGCCTAGAGGCTCAATGGCTGAGGATGATTGATTCTTTTTACTCAGTCATACCATTACAGAGCTGCAGTAATGGAAAGGTTCCTTAATAAATGACTGTAAACAAACATTTTCTAAAATATTTAGCGGCAATCTGTTTGAGCGTACCGGGATTTCTTTCAAAATCCCAAAACAAAGAAATAACACAAGTAGAGCACAAATAAATTCACTATGTAAAATAGAGAGACAGACATTAGAGGTATCCCTTATATATTAACAATGTGCATTAATCACATTTTCAATTACTTGCTTGCCATCTAACACTCTCGGTGCAAATCTGTCGCTTAGTCTCAGTAGCCGCAGCTGTAGAGGAATCATAACATCCTATAAGTGTAGAGGTCGGAGGTCAAAGGGCTTACCGTGCCACCACTAGGAATTGGTCAATCTGTTTGCTGGAGAGCGGACACTCTGGATACCACAGCTTCTCTTCCAGCTTGGACTGGTCCCTGTCGTCTGCCTCCCCTGCGGGACACACGGAAGCAACAGCTGACAGACTGCGCGGCAGCTCGAGCACAAGTCCAAGGTGACAGGACAGAATAAATCATTCTGTTATTTGAAAGACTTGTCTGCTGGAGCTTGTAGTTTAAGCTCTGCACGTATTCTGATGCCATCTGTGAATGTCCACAAACGATATGATGGATAAGGAGAGAAGAGTGTGCTTTTGACAGAGAAAAAGAAATAAAACTTTTCCAAACCAAAAGCTACAACTCAAGTCCCCATTAACACTAGTAATGTAATGTAGTCAAGTTGCATGTGGGAAAGAGGCTCAATCAAGTCAAGGCACGATAAAGCAGATTGTCCATGTCATGTTATCCTGGCACATCCTCTTCCCAGCAAAGAACAACTACTTCCTCTCGCAGTGGCCGTTTAGGACCAATCATACAAACTACAGGTGTCTAACTAGAGCGGCACGCGCATCGCACGTTCTTACTGACCCTCTAGTAGCATTTCAGGTACGTCTGCCTGAAAGCGCGGCCCCACTCTGATTTCTCCTTTGTCGGCCAGCAGGGTCTTCTGTGTGGGGTCGTACACCAGCGAGTAGAAGAACGTATCCTGAAGAAAAGCACAAAATAATCAGTCGCTGCATTTAGAGTCACGGGGCCTCACGCTGACTCTCAAACATTTACACATTTGAACCTTCAATTAAATTATTTAGCAAATTCCCTGATTCTAAATGTAACGATTCAGGGAAAGATAGAAGCGAATACTGAAGTGATGTTGAATATTGAGACCTTGTGTAGGCAAACAGTTTTTAGCATCAGAAATATGTGCGGATTTGCTTCTTTCTAATCTTTTGTGATAATATTAACATTTATTGTCTTTACTTGAGTGATCGCTTATCGGCATTGGCTAAATTTTGTGCCGAGAATCCATTTTACATCAGCTGTCACCCCGGCGTCAAGCTCTCATCCAAGCGCATCTGCCATCAACTCTCCGCTGTCTCTCCTGTGAGCCCCGTGAGTGAGACCAGGTGCTTGAGTTGCGACACGCACCATAAAAAAACAGAATGTTATTGCCTAATTCATGTGCTCTTGTTTTTAATTTCAGCTCACCGTGTCTCTAGACACGCAGCTGTGCAGCGCTGACGACAGTCGCCTCACAAGTGCAACTAGAGCCCCGTGAGCACCGTAATCAATACGAGTAATTTATTAATGTTAAGATCGATCCGCGGACTGTCAAATCTGCCCGGTTTTCAACTGAGCAGCCGCGAACACTGATCAGTGGGTCTGTTTCATATTTCTGCCCACATTCACAGACATCAGCCTAAAGACGGTTTTATGTCGAACCGCAGTCGGTAAACACACACACACACACACACACACACACACACACACACACACACACACACACACACACAGTTAACGTTAACAACGGTTGCATTGAATTCCGTCTTCAAGCCTCAAGTTAGTTATTGAAGATGAAGGTAAATTAAAACATTATCATGATCTGGTCATTGTAATCTCGCAAAATGTAGTGTTTGGTGCTATACAATTTTAAAGCATGTATATTGTATCGGTTTTAGTAACATTAATGTATTTAAAGTCTGCAGTGTGCTGCTTTATCATATAGGAAATATAAGTATCGGACTGGAGATTCTAAGGATTAAAAATAAGTCATCTGGACTTTCCTGGTCTTGAGGTACTGGATGGATCTGTCGCCTTCTTGAGAGTTAAACTATGAATTGAGAAAACAATCAGCTGACTAACCCAATTAGAGTTGTTGACAGTTGCAGCCTTTATCTTACACGCAATTTTGACAGTAAGGTTTGACTCAACCTGCTGTGACACAGTCTTCAATATGCAAAAACCAGCAAGTGATGACAAATCACGTTATTTTCTTTGCCTCACCTCTTTGTCAAGGTATGAAAGAACAGCTTCAGTCTCATTTAATAGTGCGACACTGCACTTCCCCCTGATGCGAAGAGAGAGAGAGAGAGAGAGAGAGAGAGTTAGTGAACAAGCAGTTTCAAAAACACACGAGGAAGTGAGCAGCACTTGTCTGCTCATGGCTGGATGAGTGACTGCCCATGGGCACTGCCTGCAGCTGAGACGTCTTGTCTAGTGTGTGTGTGTTTTCAGTACCTGATGTGTGTCGCAGGCAGACTCTCATACTGCCGGGAGAGGAAGAGCTCTCTGTGGCGGAGCTGGTGTTTCTGTTTGTCTGTTAGGTCTGTCTCTATCGGGCTCTCCTTCTCTTCTTCCAACTCCTCTGCAGAAAGGCACGAGAAAAGAGACGTTTGATGTTTGAAAGGTACTCGCTGCAAGTGACAGAGGCCAGTTTACGAACTGTCATCTGTCACTCAGCGATTTACTACTGAGTGACAGATGACAGTCACATTGTCTCACTCAGATTCATCCATTTATCTACATGATTTTGTAGAACACCACATGATGATATTTTGCAACTGTGCTGCCTTCAGCTGTTATACACTCACTCACGAGGGTTTTGCAATCACAGACTAGTCTCCATTAAACACACCCGAGCTATTATGCGCTGGAGTGCTGTAGGAACACTGGCATATATTTCATGTTAAGCACACAGCGCTCATCCACAGATACTGGATTGGCTGCAGTTGAGTATGGATTATAACACAAGTTGTTTTCCCTCTCTGGTGCAGCTTCACAGCCCAGTTGGAGAATCCTACAGAGCCCCAGACGGCCCGTTTCCACCGTCCCGATCTCGCGCATTAAGCTCCCTGTGAGCTTTTTCAAAAGGGTCTGTTTGATGTCAAACCGTCAATTCCTGATGCCTCACTCCTTAAAACGGCTGCCGTCTCTTTGCGCAGTACGCACCCGCCTTTATCAGTGCCCGGCTGTGATCCCGTGCGTTTGGGATTTAGTGTCTTCCCCCCAAAACATGGGTTTAACTATTGCTGACTTCCTATTCAGTAGGTTTAGTATGTATCTGATATGAGTGCACATGTCTGGTTCATGTGTTTGTGCTTTATATTTCTTTGTGTTTGCAGAGTCCAGCGAAATGAGCAAAACCTGTTTTCAACAAACAGAGAGAATTAGAATAGAACAAAACATTCCGGTATTTCCAGTCAATGCAGATTCTCGGCCCTTCGAGAACCCTTCCCTGTACAAATGCTGTTTGATCAAATTGCTAGTATTAATTAAGTAATCGAATTACATTAAAAGCTGGGTTTCTCACACATGGAATTGTTTTTTTGTATGTTACTATGGTAATTGTGACTCTTCATGTATCAATGTTCATCCTTGAGTTCATGCTACTGCTTTGGAGAGGTGCGTTTAATGACCACAAAGTGATCAACGATTTCATTTGTTGTGACCAATGGACGAAGTGAAACATGGCTGAGAGCACGTAGAAGGCTGCCCACACAGAAGAGGTGGTAGCTTGACAAAGCACATTCCTTTCCCTCCTTTCTTCTCCTCAAGTAGCCACACGCTATAAGTGACTGAGAAATTACTGTGATGTATGAATAGCTGCGTATTTTAACGTCGCACTGGAGCACCTATTTGCGTGACTAAATAATTGCACTCTGGAGCGCTGATTGATGTTACACTGTGCACAGGACTCAGTAATGTCTGCTTTACAGACAACCAGCAGAAAGACCATAATGTAATTTTCCCCTACTGGATAGAAATACTAATTAAAACCACAGGATGTCAAACAATTTCAATAAAAACAAAATCTTTTTTTTAAATTTTAATTAATAAAGCTCTAAAAGCTTGATGGAGCAGCAGTAGGGGGCGGGGCTTAGCAAGGGCTCAACCGCTTGAACGCAAATTTAATTCACATGCGGCATCTGAACAAAACGTGGTCTTGGTGGGTGACAGCATCACTACTCACTTGCGTGTTTGTCTGCGAGCTGGATGAGGCTGTGGGAGATGTCTCTCCTTCTGTAGAAGCAAACCACCTTCGCCTCCACATTCCCACTGGCCGTCTGAAACAGTGAGAGCGGAGGGATCCAGGTTGACTGCAAGCACCTTCCAACACAAACCTCTTATTTCCCAAGTGACCCGGCTCCTTTGTCAGCTCATCAAGCTATGCTGCTATGACAGTGTGACCAGGGCCGCAACGGTCCATTTGAACAGACGATTGATTGATTGATTGATTGATTGATTGTCTCGCCGGATAATTAGGCCGACGGGCTTTAAGACTCGGCCAGTATTAAGTTCTGTGAATGATGGAGAGAGAATGGATGTGGCGTTTGAGGAAACTGCCTCCGACTCCTGCTGTTTTCACGCAGCAGCTTGTAGGTGAGAGCAGATGTGTTAAGTGGCAGGATATGGACAAATATTGCAATACAAACATTAGCTACGGGCGCGACAATGTTCATCACGCTGAATCAAGCATTCTTCTTCAGCCTCAACAAGAAATATAAGATTATAAGTTCCACACGGGCTGTTTCTATTGCTGGTCCGCTGTGGTACATTACATCATGCTATAGGGTGTTCCTGTTATTTTGCTTGTTATACGATTCCCTATTTATCACGTAGGATAACAACACTGTCTCCTGACTTCATTGTGTAATATGCAGTCATTAGAAGTTTTATAACCACCGATCAGATTTCCTCCCACCCACACAATATGATAATTGCATTTATCTGAGTTTCTTCATGCAAATGCAGAAAAGGCTTTTCTGGCTTGCACGTCCAAGATGCTGGTGTAGTAGCTGAAGATCGCTAGCTTTCGTCTGTTCTTAAATGTGTCACGTAAAGATTATCATTTCAAACGGTTAACTCTACAAATGTTGGCAAAAGGAAATGCAAGGCCCTTTTGTTTTTCGAGGCTATTAGTTGATCTTTAGATTAAAGCTGAGCTGAAAAGTTCTTAACAATCTCCCCCAGCCTACACGTACACATACGCAAACGGCGGCACAGGTGTGTCCTGTGATATTAAACCGCAGTTAGGAGGCAGGGAAATACTGTCAAGTTCCATCCTATTACGTATCTTTTTCGTCTCAAAAATGCACACAAACACTCTTTGCAAAGTGTGAGGGGGGGAGTAGGGACAGCAACAGTGAGGAATCCTATCTATTCACCCTCAGGCATGGAACAGCAAAAACACGCTCCAATTTGACACAAAATGACTTCTGTACCTTGTTAAGTTCTTCTATCCGCCGGATCAAGTAAGGGTTACTGGAGGAGTTCTCAAAGAATACATAATCTGCAACAACAAAAAAACACACTGCATGAGATCATGGTAACAACTGGTTTATCCTCAATAGTAATAACACATTAGGTGCGCCTGTAAAGCCAGAAACACTTCCACACAACAGCTCACCGTTTCAAAGATAAAATGATTCTCTTTTGATGGACAATCTACAAGAGCGTTTAATTTGGCAAAATGTTTGAAACCTCAACCTTATTATCACCTTTATTGTAGAATTTGTGACAGGTCCGTTGAATTGGATTGCATTCAATTGTGTAGGTGTAAAAATGAAGTCACCAGGGAGTGATCGTCCGTCTACACATGTATATTACCAACACTACCCCAATCCCAGCCCACTACAGTGTAAATCAAGGAGATTGACTCTGCAGACATACTGCAGTTTTTTTCCATTCCCAGTATGCCGTTGCGCAACCAATAGTTTACTGAGGAAGAGGTTGAAATCAGATCAGAAGACCATTAATAAACTGGGTATTTGTTATGGGCTTGCTTGCACCACAAAAAAACGGAGCAAGGCAAAAGCAGATATACGTGCACTGACAGTCAACACAGTTATGATTAAATAAGATAAATATGTTGAGGACAAGGATATATTTCATTGAAATGAATGGTCACCCATAGCTCATCAATAAAATCAGCGTAAATAAGACGTATCCTAGCCAGAGGCTGATTGAGCTCTACCTGAGCAGAATATACAGTAACTTTGGAAAAGTTTAGTCCAGGGGAAGTGCTGCTTTCAAGAGCTCTCTGAAATATTGTAATTTCTATACACAAGTAAAAAACACTCAAGTCGGAAAAAGGGTAAATCTTTTCAACTCGTCATGATTGGACATTTAGTAAGTGCATATAACCATCACAGCCCCCCCCCCCCCCTGAAATTGCATTCTTGCCCAGGAGAGTACTGTTCTGCATCCTCAACATATATATCTTTCTCTTTATTAAGTTGCACTAGAACGACTAGCTGTATGTATGAGGAGAGCAACATTTACAAAAGACGTATTTAAAAACTCTTCATTCTTAAATAAGAACAAAAAATCCGAAACCACCCAGTCTTAAAAGTTCTTGGAGTTACATTTTCCAAATAGCACTTGAAGGCAGCAGGAGAGCCGCAGCTACGGTGACCATATGGTCAACAAACTGATACGTTGTAACGACACTGATACGCCTGTGTTGTACTATTACCACGATATTATCACCTGTGCATGGATGCCTAATGGGTCTGTGACATGTGAGGCATGACATTGCAGCTTAGTCACAACGGTAATTAAAACCACGAGGTAATAAAGGTGTAAGATTCAATCAAACCCCTACGCAACGACGCCATGAATCCAGGCAATAATTAGATGCTGAATTCCAGCACACTGCTAACAAGCTAGCTAGCAGGTAAAACCATTATCTTAATTAATGGTGCTTGTTGTACATATTCGTGGACGGTGTGCCAAAACCAAGAGTCCTGCGTTACCAGGATTGTAAAGACGAATTCCTCCTCACGTGAAACGAGCGCCACCGCCGCGATCATGCTAATCAGCGAAGCCATTACTGGTGCTAACGTTAGCTAAATAAGGACTCGCACTAATGGCCCCGTGCCAGAAGAGGCAAATACAAAGGCAGCTTCAGACTGCCCGTGGCAACATTTGAACCTTTTTTTTTGCCACACACGTCTGGTCGGGGAGACCCACGGCGTTTCCGTTACCCGTACTCCAGGTCTAAACACCCGAAAAACAAAGAAACAACAAATGTGCCGGCAGTTGAAATATGTTTACATTGTGAGCTAGCCATGTAGCAAGCTGGCGGCTAGCTGCGGTGGACGCGACAGACGCGAGGGCCTGACCCATTTTGGATCCAAAATATTTAGAAATGATCACCTCAGTGGCGCAAACTTAACGCATCTCTGTGCGCGGAGCACAAGCTCGTCTCGCTATTACACGCGAAACCGGCTAGAAATTGTGTGATATGATCCATCAGGGGGGCTGCGAAACTGGAAGGGTTTCAGTTTGATGAGGAAAAAAAAGGTCCACATTGACATACATACCTCCGACCCGGTACATGTTGGCCGCCATTTCTGCCCTCCCGGAGTGTTAACGTAAACCATAAACTAAAAGGAAAAGAATAAATTAATAGAAACAATAACGTCTAGACCCCATAACAGGTAAAAAGGTGCGATGAATTATGATCGTCGAGACTCCGGATGTGTACCCAAGCGGGAGATTTTTTTTTTTTTTTTTTTGGCAAATCAACCCCCCCTCGTCCTCCAGGATTCACGGTCCCCTTTTCAATACAGTGAACTCACGGCAGCCAAAAGAAGTCGGATCAACCCGAAAAACCACTGACTGGTGACGTTGAGAATAGGGCCGCGCACGCGCACAGACATGCACATGCACACACACACACACACGCTGTACCTTAACAATTCATGCTCATGCGTTATTTACTTCCAATGCAATCATGACTCCAAAACTTACTTATAACCATACAAAGTTATTTTATGTTAGAGGTGAACTGTTCTCAACAGTTTGGTATAATAGTTCTTTATTGTAAAATACAATGAAGCAATCGTGATCAATACTATTTTGGTTCTTCAAAGAATACTAGAATAAAAACTAAACACTATAGTTGAAATATAATTAGAATGTGCAAAAGCCCTTAAGGGCTCAAAACAATGATTTCCTTTATATTTTTGATGTTTGGCTCTATATCAGAATTCTTACACATTGCAATATTTAGTGTATCGACGATTTACAACTTGGAGCCAAATGTGTGTGAATTTAAAGCTTGTTTTTTTTTACTGCACGACCACATTTCTTCCGATGGTTGCGCACGTGCGCGCGCATGTGACATCATTGATGGGATCGGCTCGCCCCGGCTGTTGAGGAGAGACTCTTCAGACGGAGAGGGAAGAGGAGTCAGGGACACACCAGCTCAGCGCCGGACCGGTCTCCACGAACCACGCCCGGGTCGGGGAGGGGGGGGAGTGGAGTGGAGTGGGGGGGGGGTGGACAGGGCAGACCGTGGCACCCAAGTGTCCAAACGCTTGCGATGGAAGGTGGACAGTGGACTGTCTGCCAAGATAAGTTTTAGTTAGGTCACAGATTGACAAGATGAAGTTCGGGAAGAGCATCTGCGTACTCAACGTAGGGGGAACCCGGTACGCCTTCACCCGTGAGGTGATTCGGGATTTCCCTCTCCGGCGCGTCAGCCGGCTCCATGCATGCGCAACGGAAAAAGAGGTCCTTGAACTGTGCGATGACTACGACCGGGAGCGGAATGAGTTTTTCTTCGACCGCCACGCACAGGCTTTCGTGTTCATCATGCTCTACGTGCGCTCCGGTAAACTCCGTTTTGTGCCCGGGGTGTGCGAGCTGTCCTTCTACACCGAGATGCTCTACTGGGGACTGGAGAGCGTGCACCTGGACTCCTGCTGCCAGAAGCGCCTGGACGACAGGATGTCGGAGATTGGACTGGACACTCTGTCCGAGTTGGACGTCGGAGTATCGGGGGACGAGTCCCAGAGCTCCGGCTCGCCGGTGCGGCGGCTCACCGGTCGCGCAAAATGGCTCGAGACGATGCGCAAGACATTCGAGGAGCCCAACTCCTCCGTTTTTGCCCAGCTTTTGGCTTCGGTGTCTGTGATATTCGTGCTCGTTTCTATGATAATGATGTGTGCGAGCACCCTGCCGGACTGGGATACAGCCAAGAGAAATACTGTGGAGGAGCACAGGTAGGCGAAAGTCAGGGGTCAGTTAAGTTTTGGACGAGGACGCGGCGAAATATGCAACTAAATCTGCTCTAAAACCTGGTGCGTTACAGTCGATAGTGACTTGATGCCATGAGATCAACAGGCAGGAACATAACAAGGATGCACGGTACACATGGATGACACATGTCAGATTAATAAGAGATAGACTACATCATATTCCAGTGAGTAATGGGTTGGAAGAAGAGGGATTATACATTAGAGAAAGAAAACCAAAAGGAATTAAGCCACTTATCGGAACTTCTGTTCTAGCGTCTGAACTATTTTGGCTGCACTCCTTGGATGCAAGGTGGAAAGTGCTTCTCTTTCAAGATTATTTTTCCAGAGCGTGTCCTTTTCTGCATGCCTGAGGCAGCCTTTCTCTATATAAGGCTGGGGTATGTTCCCTCATGCAGGACATAGTTCGAGAACGGTCACAGTGGTTAGGTAATCACTAAAAGTTTAGTTTATTCTCAGGGGTAAAAACGATTACAATTTAGTTCCAGTAGATGATGCAATTCCCCCGGTTGCTCTACAATGTGGTTTTTGTCATTGTGCTGGTAAAGTGATCCATACGGGCTCCGTGCTATTTCATTGGCCTGACAGTTTCTAAATCAAATACAAGCACGACCTCGACTTAATTCGGTTTGATTGCCTCTGCTGTGCTAATTTACGGGGTAATCGTGTGTCTGTCACACAGTCTCGCTTTGGCGGGTTTGCATCCCCCACTCTGTGCTGTTTCCCGGCAATTTGTCCAGTCTCCTCCTCTCTTGTGTTTACTTGTGGCTACCGTGTGATTGCGTCAGATGTCCTGTGTATTTCCCATAATGTCCACCCCGCTTTGCTTGCTTCTCATGCACTTGCTCATGTTCGGTGTTGTGTCACGGTTTGGGTTCACGTCCTGTGCTAATGTTTGGTATAATCCAGATCCGCTGCTGCTCTCCCGTTCCCTGTTCAGTTCGGCTAATCTCCTCATCTTCTCTACGCAGGACCGTGGAAGCCGTGTGTATCGGCTGGTTCACCGCGGAATGCATAGTGCGCTTTCTGGTGGCCAAAAGCAAGTGGGACTTCATCCGGCGGCCGCTGAACGTCATCGATGTGATTTCCATCACCCCTTACTATGTCACCATGGCGCTGGCCCAGGCCGGGGTGCCAGGTGCCGGGCTCGGGGTCGCCGGGGTGGTGCTGCGGGTGCTGAGGATGATGCGCGTCTTCTGGCTCATGAAGCTGGCCAGGCACTTCCTGGGGCTGCAGACACTCGGGCTCACACTCACACGCTGCTACCGGGAGATGGTCATGCTGATGGTGTTTGTCTTCGTCGCCATGGCAATATACAGCGCTCTCGCCCAGCTGCTGGAGTACGGGCTGGACTTGGGAACGCAGAACCCGGACTACGCCAGCATCCCCGCAGCGGCCTGGTGGGTTATCATCTCCATGACGACGGTAGGGTACGGGGACGTGTACCCTGTGACAGTCGGGGGACGGGTGCTCGGGGGAATGTGTGTCGTGAGCGGCATTGTTCTCCTGGCACTGCCCATCACATTCATCTACCACAGTTTTGTACAGTGCTACCACGAACTCAAACTCCGCTCTGCCAGATACACGCGCAGCTTGTCGGTGGAGATGCTGCAGAGAGCATGAATCTGTACCAGAACACATCGGCCCTCACTAGATAAAAAAAAAAAACCTCACCAAAGCAGTGGAGCTTCTGATCTCGTTGACAAATAACAATCTACTTTACGTACTGCGCTGTTTCCTGCGCGAGCTGCACCTAATTGTAATTGGCCTGCCTCATTCCGGCCTGTTGTGTTGATGATCTCGAATTATTGCCCACAGCCAGCATAACCTGCATCCATTTTCACCACTTAGTAATAATGGAATGAGTTATTAAACACCCATAGGTACAGTCAATTCAGTTTCTACACCGGCTGCTGTTTACACTGTATTCCCATGACTACAACGTCATTGGCAGAGACGGCTGCTTTTTTTGTCTGCCGCATTCACCGCTGTGTGTGTGTGTGTGTGTGTCTGTGTGTCTGTGTGTTTGTTTGTCTCGCCATCACTTTGTCTAAGCTTTGCGCCCAGATTGTACCAGTTACACAAGATTGATGTGTGACCTAGATGCATTCTGTTAAACCTGTGAAATATGGACTGATAGTGAACAAGTGACTGGGGAATGGGGATGCGGAGGGGTTGCACAGAGGGCTTTGTGTATCAGAAGAGCATATGAAGTCAGATAATGAAATATAGAGACAAGGTCAGAAGCAAGGACTACAACGTGGCAGAAAACTAAAGGTGTGACAGATATGACAGCGCAGATGGAGCGTGAGATGGTTGATAAAAGATCCCCGGGACAAAAATGACAAAGAGAGGGAATGTGGAGCAAGAGCGAGCACAAAGAATGAATAGACGGAGAGTGTGCCACGTCTCCATTTGCGAGCGAATGCAAGACATTTTGTATTTCTGTGTCTCCAAGGCAACCTCCATCCTCAAACATGCCAATCATAATAGTGGTCGATTATGCTCACAAATAGAGCAAACATCCACGCACAAAACTCCTGGCTGGCGTTTTTTGTTTTTTGTAGCTATTGGGAAACACACATCATAGGATTTGTTGAAATACAAAATATAATAAAAGAATAGTGGAAAAAAAATGATGCCCGAAAACAAGTTGACAGACATTCATGATTCAGACATGTTTCCACTACTTGTGGTTAAGCCAAGATTATGTGATTGGTTGAGAAGACACATGATCCAAACAAACAAGTCAACACCTCTCCCACACAACAGTCTTTCTCTGCATTTATTCTCCTCCTGTTGCCATCAACCATCGTGTGTTAAAACACACACACGCACACCCACAAGCTCTCGTGCTTTTCTGTGTCGAACATTAAACCAGTCGGTTAGTAGACTGTAGCTATTTGAATTTAAAGTCCAATTCGGTTATTTTCTCACAAACTCTGCAGCCTTGTACAAGTTCAGTATTCATTGTACACAGAAGATGGTTTGTTATTGTTCTTGTTGTGTTATCAATGTGCTTTTTTTTAAGAACTCTATTTTCTCTACCCTATTTTACTACCTTGCCTACAGCACAGTTTATAGCGTATAGCCTTGTGAGTTTTGCCATGGCCTGATTGAAACCATCAATCAAAAACTTTTTCATCAATGGACTATGAACTTGTGATAAGTGTGATTATTGTAGGATCCTTTGTAATAAAATGTCTTAGAGAAAAATGTCTATGATGTGTAATTGCTCATAACTGTATAAAAAGTAATGGTTATATAAAAGTGTCATTCGACTCCATCGTTTGATTCCACCTATTCCTCAGCTCAAACAACATTTTTAGTTAACTAAGCTGCTTCACTGTATCACCCAGAGAGGCAATGCATGAAAAAGGCCTCTTTGGCAGATGGAGCTTGATAATTCAAAAGTCTCGATGTGATGACACACTACACCTCTGGCCTCCTACAGGCAGTAGAACATTGCATTCAATGTGAGAAACACCTGAGCCCGTTGGCGAGGACATTCAGTGCGCTCGTTGGATTTTCACTGGTGTGAGGAGTGTGCCGCAGTCTTGTTTACAACTAAGTGTTGTAAGGGTACATTGGCTTAATCAAGCTCCTGCCGCTCTGTTATTAGGGTTCAGACTTCCCAAGCATGTTGCACTTATCTCAACACCTCAGTCAGTAGACCTGCAATGCACCCGATGCAAATAAGAATTAAATCTTTTGTGATGAATTAAAGAATAGATTATTTAAAAAAAACTGAGATTCAGGGTATTATAACAAGGGGTTTTTCCTACACATAAGAAAATATTCAGTGCTACTTTGCAAAGGTTCTCCCTCTGTAGGGGTGTTGATGATTGGGACAGAGTGACCTATACAACGCGTTGTCCCAAAATTGGCATTCAGTTTGGTCCAAATATTTAGAATTTGTTTCTTTAGTTTGTTAGATTGTCTCTGTGTGAATAACTACATTTTATTGTGGCTTAGGTACAGTGATGCTTTGACCTAAATTATGCTCACATCAGCATTACAAAATTCTCACAATACCAATGGTAAATGCTGATGTTCTGGGGATTTAATGTTGACCATAAGGGCAATCATTGACATCTATGTAAAGCCTGGTTTATGTGCAAATGTGCAAATAACTGTCCTGCTAGGATTGTTGTGATTCATATTGCAGGTATTTCTGTAAGAAACCAAATGTGAACTTTGATCCTAGAGAGGCAGAAATGGACAAAAATGGCCACAATATGTTTTCGTGGATGTCGTGAGAATGAGAAATAGCATCAATTTATAAATTAATATAATACAATGGTCAAAATTTAAAAAATGCATTAAACCAAATATCTTTTAAAGTTAGTATCAAGGGTGTAATTCCAAGAAAGAACATGGTGGGGCTTTCTAAAATTCTATTTTATGGTTTTCTTATATTCTGATATCTCAAGTTTAAAGAACCCATGGCTTCAGTAACTCCTCCTCCCCCCAGGCACCCATATGTTTTAAAATTCTTAATCTTAAAACTGTTTTCTATGACAGTTTAACAATGCCAAAACCCATGAATGACGATTTCTGAATTATCACTGGGGAAAGTATGGCAGTGGTGGAAGAAGCACTTCAGTAAATATACTAAAGGGAAAGAATCCCTGTAACAGATAAAAGCCTTGCATTCAGAGTCTAACAAAAGGAGGCTATTAGCTGCAAAACATATTGAAGAGGAAGCTACTCGTTTATACATGGCCATGTGTGTCGTGGATGTTGTTATATTCAAGATGCATTATCACTTTAATATTGCAGCGGTGGAAAATAGGGCTAATTGTAATGACTGAATAGAGGCTATTGCAGGGTAGCTAAACCTACAGTAATACGTGTAGTAGTTGTTAACTACTACATACTTAATGTAGTAGTTCAATCAAAAATTATCATTGACATGTAACTATTAACCTTAGTTGCGGAAGTTGCCAAATAAATGTAGTGTATGTAGAAATATATAAAAGAGTACAAATATGTTTGACAATATTTTACATTTACAAAACGTTGCAGTCTATGATTTGCATATAGTGGAGTATAAGTGCAAATGTGGTTTAAAGGAGTATTTTAGTGTAGTTTAGAAAACGTTTCCATTCATCCGCTACCAACGCGCCTTTAGAATTTTAAACGGGCAGTGTCAAGCCAACTGGCTGTGACGTCACTTTCCCTCGACGGTCGCGACAGGAAGACCTTTTACCGTGTGATTTTTTGTTGTGGACGAAACCTTTCCTGTCCTTCAGTACGAAAATGTACTACAAATTCAGCGGTTTTACCCAGAAACTGACGGGGTCCGCTCCGGCGGCCGCCTACAGCCCTCAGGTAACACAAGGCGCGGTGTATCATCGAGAGACCGATTCGGTAACCGTCGAGGATGACCTTCATAGATCAGTGTGTCGGATAACTAGCTGTTGCCTTTACTGTGACGTTAGCTCATAGCAGAACGGTTAAAGGCATTCCAAGGTCTCAAATGTAATCGACTAAATGCACAACACGTGTATTGATTCCCAGACGTGATGTGGTTTCCTTGATGTGGTATACCCGCAGATTACTGGTTAATAAGTAGTTTCCTGTCGTATTTCACGCAGGTTGGCGTTTAACGTTACTGAAAATGTAATTCAGCGTACGATATATGTCGCGTCAGGAAGTTGGTAGCTTATGTTAAAGTAAGCTAACGTTGGAAAATCACAAACACGCGTAGCCATTTTTCTGAAAATGCAATTCCCCTTTTCGCCTTATCCCAGAACCATTATTTGACCTTTTATTTTGAAAGGTTATGGGAATCCGGCCCTCGTCAGGCTTTAAACGACATCTGCCAGATGTGACCTTTATTATCACTTATGTTACCCCCACCTATTGTTCTTCTATGTCTGACTGCCTTCAAGCTCTCGTGTGCCACAATATGGAAGTCACATATTTAAAATGTAACTTTTTTTGGGTTGGAAGAAAAATGATCCCGAAACACAAATATTGTTATAGCTAGAATCTTTCTAAAGGCCTTTACCAAAGTACATCCTTGAGATAATACCACGGGGTCGTCGTGGCGCAGGGGTTAGAGAAGGTGTGCTGGGAAGCACAAGGTTGGTGGTTCGATTCCAGGCTGCCCTATGTTCCATGTTGAAGTGTCCCTGAGCAAGACACTTAACGCCGAATTGCTCCCTGGGCAAAATCTGAAAAAAAGCCATGGGTGTAATGTAAGTCGCTTTGGATAAAAGCATCTGCTAAATGACCTGTAATGTAATTTAGATTTTACTTGAGTATTTCCCATTCATGCTTTATGCTTTTCATCAACTACATTCATTTGTAAGGTATGAGCTGGGTGTGGATTTGCCTCTATCAACCGACAAAGTCGGTCTTGTGACCTTAACTTAAGTCTACTTTTCCAGGGTCTCCTCCCATTTGGTAGCTCAATAGAGGCAGATGTAGAAAGGATGTTGGTCTATCAAAATGTTACAGAATAAATGATCAACATTCACACTTTGGGTTATGTGCAGTTTCCAATATCTAGTGAGTGACTCTCACCACAAAAGGCAAAAAATGTCAAGCTCTTTTCCAGTTTGCTTAATATTACTCAGCATCTTGAAAAACGCAGTGCACATCCCTGTGTAGAAACAACACGTGATACTCGTACAACTCCAATGGAATCATATCTGTATTTCTGGTTTAATTTATAGAAATGATTTCGTGCTGTAAACACTTTTGGATAAACATTTTCCTAAACAGCGTGTAGAAGGAATCGATTTAACTGCAGCCGCACTCGGTCTACTTCGACAACACAATGGCTTTGCCCATCATTTTCAAAACCCGCAGTAGGTCTTCCTCCGAATGAGAGAGTATTAAAAGATATTAAGTACTTCATTAAAATCCCATTTCACCATCAACCGCATTCATTTATCACTTACATTGAATTTAAAAGATGTCTTGGTGGAAAATGACCACACGTTCATTTATTGTTTACTGGTGTGAAGTAAGAACAGTATGTCGGGCTGCCAATAAATTGTAATTTGTTCTAATGTTGAACTTTTTAAGGTGCTCCTTAATAATGACCTCAACGGGCACAAGTTGAGTCATACATTGTTAGATGAGCTGAATCGTTTTTGGGGTCGCTGTCGGTTGGAACAGGTTCTCTACAGCAGCCCGCTGCTTAACATACTACAAGTTAGATTCAGAGGGCACATTTCAAGCATTTCCGCAATGATAAAACAAAAGGTGTGTTGTATTGTTGTTTTTTCCACGTTAGATTTAGGCAGCAGCTCAGTGATCCTACAAAAAGTATGAGGATTCTTGACTTTTATGGGTCTTTTATTCAATTTATTTCTGTTAATAAATCTGAAACAAAACACAGAACTCCGATACATTAGATTGAGAATAGTTTACACTTTGCAAGGTAATGTAATTATTTCCATTACCCATTGCTGATAAACGCCCTAAATTTGCCTTGGAACGACAGAAAAGGCTGTGTAGGAGCCATTCGTGATATCTGTGTGCAACAGTGTACTGGGAGCCAATCTCAGGTTGGCCACAGGTGGCAGTGTGTATAATTGTGACAGGGAGTCTACATAAGGGGGCACCAGTGCAATTGACACAGGGTAATGATGCATGGGTGACGGGGAGATCGCACGGTTTTAACGCTACCAGCGCAGCGCAGCGAGATCACAAAACAAACGTAAATGCAGTTGTGTTTCATAAAGTATAAAACTAATAAACGGGACTCTGTGTGAGCGAGTGAGGAACAGGATCTTCTCCCGCACCCTGCCGATTGGCTCAGGAAAATCTGTCACCACAGGCCGCTTTCGTGGTTGTCTACAAATGACGAATAATTTCTTTTTGGTTTAGGGGCTTAGGCCAGGTGTGCCAGCAGAGTCCCCCGCCATGGTGTTTGCCACACCCACCAAGGTGGTGTCGGAGGCGGGGTCCACGGCGGAGTACTTGGGAGCAAACCGGGTTCCTGAGCTGCAGAGAATTTTCCAGGTAGTGACAACCTCTCCAGATATGCATAAAGAACATAGCAGACCAAGATGGAAGTCTGACAGATTACGAGCCGCTCAAGTGAGCGGCTCAATTAATCAGTCAAAGCCTCGGGGATTTCTTTAATTTAAGCGATGCCTGGTATTTATTTTCCTCTGTTCTTAATGCCCCCCTGCATCAGTATTCATCACATGCTAGTCAGTGGGGGAGTAAGTGAAGTTGGTCACAGCAATCACTCCAAACTAATGGAAACCACAGTAATGAGCACTGCAATTTAGCCAGTCGCAAGCACTTATTTTTTGGTGTTAAACCAGTACTCCAGATAGACCATTCCTGAGCAAATAATGCATAAAATATAACAATTTTAATATTTACTTGTATTTAAATGTGAACATTATATGCATTTGTAATAAATATTAATTTTAATACTAAAAAATTAATACTAATTTTCATGGACAATTTTTCATTTTGTTCAAGTAGAAAAAATATCACAGATCATTATTTGACTGTACTGTCTTATGAAGGAAAAAGCGATGTAAAGCTACAGGGAAGAAAAAAAATCTGTTTTAGGCCTTTCTGCCACGAGTACCCTGCACTCCCTGTTACACTTTCATTAGCGGATTATTTCCTTTTTGTTTACCTGCTCCAATTTTCCCTTGCCCCCCCCCCCCCTCCTCCAATTTCATCTTCACAGGCGCCAGACGGCATCCCCATTCATTTGAAGCGCGGAGTCCCCGACAGGCTACTGTACCGCACCACCATGGCTCTCACTGTAGGAGGCGCGCTCTACTGTCTGGTGGCTCTTTACTTTGCAGCCCAGCCCAACAACAATAAGTGAACAACGGCAAACCCCCGGGATCATTCTGTTCTCAAACCTGACATTCCCAGCCTCCGTCTGCCCTCGCCATGCCATCTCTTGGGACTCGCTGTTATGACATCACACTCAACAATAAGAACAATAACGTCCCGTCTCCTTTGTAAATCAGATGTCTAACTTAATAAACAGGGAAAAAAAGGTAATACGTGCTTGTGTATCCTGTTTTTCTCAAAGATGATGTCACTGAAAGAAAGAAAGAAACCAGGAGATGCATACAGGCTTCATGTATGGAACTCAAATGGGTAGAGAGCTGTTCTTGAGCATGTGTGAGAGAACGAGAAAGCATGGAGATCTTCGCTGCTGCTCACTTGGCTCAAGCGTGGTCTCATGCAGTATTTACATGTGTGGGCTTGGCTGTGATGTAAGATGCTTCTGGACGAGTTTGGAGGGAGGTTGTTTCAGACAGACATGTTGGCGGCCCCACATCAAGCTGCTGAAACACTGATAATCTCAGTCTTCCCTCCCGCCTTTGTGTATTTTGTTGAATTTAGAAGGAATTTGATTGTCTTCATCTGTTAAAAAATGTCATGATCAAGAAATAATCATTTATTTTTAAGTATAGTTTGCATTATTAATCTGAATTAAAAAAAATATATATATATATATATAGACTTGTTAGTGTTAAGTAACTAGAAAATGGTAACCATCTGCACATCAGCAGGCTGACAGGTGCACAGGAAAATAATATGGGTCAAAAATATAAAACATGATATATAGAACAAAAAAGTATGCAAATAAAAATACGAAGCAAAATAATCAAGTTCATATATTTCAAAATTGTACAGCAAATATTCATTTTAACTGCACATTTCTGGGGAGTCCATTTTCCAGGGACTTGCATATTTCTAATTGCCGTGCCAGATCTCATGAAGATCTTCTTTATTAAGATCTTGCACATTCATACGTCAGCAAGAATCCACAGTGGACCTCCCTTTGTCACGGCATCAATACTTCACACCCTGAGGAAAACCATGTGATGGATAATTGATGAGAGCACTGATTTGAAAATGAATAATTTGACCTTCTGTGGTGAAAGATAATTAGTATGGCCTATAAATAAAGACATCATTTGAATGTCTGTGGGAGGAGGTAATCTTTTTGCATTCCATCTGATATCCATAAATGTCAATCTGCTGATAAGCGAAGTCTTAAGGATCAACAGTCCGTAGCATTTGTCCACTGTGGCTGACGCAGGTCCACGCAACATTTAATGGAAGTCCAAATGTGCACAAACGTATTTGAGAAGATTTTCGATCTCTTGTCCCTCTTGCGTCACGACTTCAGGCGCAATGGACGCTTTTGTTGTCTTTCCTCGAACCCACAGGAGAAACCCGATAGCTCTGCAATAACATGTTCTCCATGAGCCCAGCACTCCGATTGTAAACGGGGGTTGGGTTGGGGAGGGGGGGGGGGGACCACACAGGAAACCTCACGAAAAATCAGACGAAACACAGGAAGCAACTGGGGTGTGAGGAAGGGGGGTGGATGAGTGTGAGGAAAAGGTTGCTGTGAGGAGGATGGGTGTGACATGTCGGTAGATAATCCCATTTTACATCTATTTGTATTCTCAGCAGTACCAGATGGGTTTTCAATGAAACTTATGGCGTCCTGCAGTCGGAGGACACGTCCATACGGTTTAATGATTTTAGTCCAATTTGTACCGTCCAGAAAATTTCAAATTATGCAAACAATATCTTCAAATGTAAAGCATTTTGGGAGATGTATTAGCAGAGATAGCATTGGGTTTTATTAGTGTATAATAACCTAAATCTAAGAATTGTTGCCTTTACATTAGCTCAGAGCGAGCCCTTCGTAACGCCTCATATCTACATAGGGAATGGTTTGGTGTTACTGTTATATTGACAATTAGAACCGTTAAGTGAGGGAAAAAACACACTACAGTAGTCTTGGAAAAAGAGGATTGAGCTGATTGTCAATTTAGCTGCTCGATGCACCCACATTTTATACAGTGTCTCTTTAAGTATAATTATTTGGGCGGATTTTCTAAACTATGCTAAACATTTATAATGGAAAGACTGTGTGGAACATAAAGGAACTACTACACTACAGTGCAGTTTGTTCACAACTTTATATTTTACTACAGCTTTAGGAGACTGAGGTGGTAGGTTAGCTCACCCAGACAGTGGGGATGATTGTACAGAACATTGAGCACTTCTGAATCAAGATAAGATTTAAAATGTCATCATTTATGTGTAAAAATAAATAAATATATTGCCTCAATAGGGGCATAGATGCAAAAACAAAATGATGAAGTAGAGGCATGCTTATTGTTTTCTTCGCGAGCTGTAAACCCACAGTGATGTAGTAGCTGCGGATCTGGGTGTGGATTCTTTGTGTTCCCTGCAGCCTGAGCGATGTGTTTACAAAGTCACTTGATTCAGTGCTTCCCCCTAAAGATAATTGATTATCCCGGGTTAATTTTGGGTGAAAGACCACAGAGAATATATAACTGTAGAAACATAACAGCTCTGCAACCTTGCAGGAAAGATGGGTTAAGAGTGACAAATCACAAAGCCCTGGTGCAGCAGCACAGCCCGAGAACAAACAATGAATATATAAAGTTCTCTGGGATTGAACGAGAAGAGAATATTTTCGAAAGCAGTGTCTTTTGTGTCGGAGCGAAAAGGCCTTGGCTCGCAGATGAAAGCGCCACTAGTGGGCTTGAGCACACAGACAAAAGCCACTCCAGAACAGATCCCGGTCCTCAAAATAAATCGATTTACGATTTGAGTGGACAAAAAAAAACAAAAATCACCAGATGTGACATGCCCGTTCGTGATGACACACAGCACGAGGTGAAATCAGTCACAGCACACCCTTTGCTCTCCGGGGGCCTCCTCGAGAAGGCGTCGGAAGAAAGACCAGAGAACAAGGATAATGGAGAGAACAGCATGAAGCCCGATGAAAAAGGTGTGCTGATTGGTGTTGTAAGTGCATTTAAAAGGCTTGGAAATCGCTCTCCCTATATAGATTTTTCCAAATGATTTTCTTCCCCGCTCTTTTGTGCCTTCTCCAGGCTATTCCCCTCAGTCTTCCCCTGTCAACTGCCTCGTGCAAGAGGTCAAAGACAGGGTGATTGAACAGCACCGCCTCTGGCGCTGTGACGAAACCGGCACGTAATTACTTCAGTTTTATTGTGTTACAAACAATCTGCCTGCAAACAACCTTCCTCGTTTACTTCACAGTCTGACAATACGATGCAGAAAGAGGCAGGATGCTTTATTGGGGTCACCAGGCTGCGAGGGGAGGGCAATAGATGCAGGCAGCACGGAGGGAGGAAAATGAATGCACCTAAAAAGGAAAGTGAATCGATACGGTGGCCCGAGGATGTGAAAAGCTGGAGTAAGAAGGAGAGATGGAGGGTGTTGAAATAGAGTTAGAGCAAGATTTGGGGGTTTTTTAAGGTGTAAAATGACCTCAGCGTGCATGTCAGGATGGAAGTTACCGTCACAACTCTTTCAATAAATGATCACCCGACCATAACACTGATCACTTTGTAAATGGCCGAGGCTCGATTTCTTCTCTTCAGTTAAACCCTCACACGCACACACAAAAACACACGGCCTGTGCAGGCGGTGATCCAACAGCACCACCTACAGGTCTGATCACTCAAAAAGACGGATATTTCCAATCTTTTAATCAAAAAAAGAGTTCCAAAGTATTGCTTCATACAGGTCAAAACTGTTCAGAGAAAATATTCAGCCTCCATGCGTACACCTTGTCAATAACGTCTAGCGTCATTCCAAAATCTTCCTTCCTACAGGCAGCATGAGGAAGGAGAAGTCCCAATAAATATTCAGTACAAAGTTAAAAGGAATACACCAGGAATACGAGAAAAATACCCATGTGGTTGCAAACAAGCGTACATCACGTCCATCACTTGCACTTGTACGTGAGCTGCTTGCGATGGTAGTGGATCCACGCAGGAGCTGCAACCAGGCCGGTCAGGAAGCCGATAGTAGCTCCCAGACTGCAGGAAACGGGCCAGACCTACGAGAAGCAAGACAAGCCGGTCCGATTGTTGCACTGATAGATTACAATCCTTTTTTCTTCTCCGAGCGTGTTTACACTTAATGTGTAATGTTTCATTCAAAAGGGGAACTTCTTAAAGGAAAAGGACAGCGGCGTTGTCCCGCAGAGCTCCAATTACCACAGACTCTTATATGCATTTTCCTTCGGTCTATTTGCGGAGAACTCCCTTTTGCAATTATAATTTTAATCTTTTTGTTATTTAATAATACATTTTTTTAAAAGCTCAATTCCAGACTCATGGAGATTGTATTTAATACAGTTTAATGAAACAGAGGTTTGTTACCAAGTTTCCCCTTTACACAGAAGACAGGCTCACTGCCTTGTTAACTCATCGTGAAACACATTTCATTCAAACCTGGACAGAAAATAAATTAAACTCGGCAGACACGTCCTCGGTACATCATCAACCAACTCTGGTTTGGTTTAAATAAATCCATAATTTACCAAGCAAACTTTCCAGAGGACAGTTCGCACAAAGCAGCCTTAAATAAAAGTTTTTGGGGCATCCATTAAGACAGTGATGAATGGTGCCTCGTCGCGAACAGGTGGTCTTCATCACTCTGAAATAATTGATTCTCTTTGTTTTTTCTATCTTTGCCGTATGTAAAGAGTCTTTGGGTACATAGAAAAGCGCTAAATACAATTAAAGTATTATAATTATTATTATTATATAGTTTCCACTTGCATGACGCCCAGTATTAAGATGAAGATCCAACAGAACTCATTCTGTTCATGGGAGTCTTTTAATGTGTACTGACCTGCCAAGGCCTGTCCCAGTCCAGTGGTATGGGAAAGGCTCCTACCCAGGCTCCCACCAAAGTGCAGGCCACTGTTATCTGCAGACAGGTGTCCCACACAGACATCGCTCTAGAGAGGGAAAGCAACAAAAATATATATATATATATATTTTTTTTTTTTTCAATCTATAGACTCAAGATAAGCACAAACAATATTCCACAGAGAGAGAAAGAGGGGGATTTGGGCCTACCCGTGCCGGCTGAATACTCGTATCCAGGCCTGGACGTTTGGGCCGAGGACACAGAGGCACCTCAGTGTGGTTAAAGAGGTCAGCAGCACAGCGAGGGAGAATGTCTCCAAGGCAGATCTGAAACACAAAGTAGGAGACATTGTATTGCTGAAGGGAGACTTAGAGCAAAAAACAGAAGTTGTGTTGATGCAACAAATAGGTGTGAATTAATGCTTAATGCATACAAAATAGACAGACAAGAATGACCATCTGCAAATATGTACCATGTCTTTAAAGTAATTTAACGGACAGTGTGCGAATACTTAAAATGCACACAAACTTTTTCCCCCCCGCAACCATTATTGGGTTGGTTTGTGTGGGTGATGCATTTCAAGTTGCATTACCTACTTGCAGCGGTTTTTACACGAGCATCAGCGGATACTCACTCAATCAGCGGAGCTCCATAGAGAACAACCACAGCGTGGAAGAACAGGCACGACAGGAAGAAGTACACACAGGAACGAAACAGCCGAGACAGCTGCAGAGAGAAAGTGAGCAAAGCAAAACGTTAAAGGGAGATGAAATCCTGGAAGATATGTGCACGTAATCTAAAAGTTCTGAAATAAAAGCTAGAGACTTTGCTTCCGTGGAATAATGTTTATTACACCTTAAATTGTTGCTGCCTTGCATCCACGTTAACGTACACAAAACTGTTTTTCCTTTATGTTCCATGTTAAGCGCTTTTTAAACAGCCTTGTTGTTGTTGTTTTTTAAAGATACCTTATAAATTAACTTGTCTTGTGATCCTTTGGAGAAGGCCTGACACCTAGATTTTGGGAACTCCTGAAATAAACACCTGTGTTTAAGTAATACCAACTACACCAGCTACAAAATAAAAACAATCCTTACACATTAATGCATTCAAGTTCTTAATGGAATCAGTCACCACGGTCAGTATTTTTTACTTTGCCAGTATTACTACCTTGTACCCCAGCGTGTGCTTCTTGGTGGGCGGCGAGATGCCGAGCAGCCAGAAGGCGGCGACGCTGACCGCGGCGACCGCACCGGACACCGCGTAGAGCCACGGCAGGTGCGTGCCGTACACCGAGAAGCCGCGCACGAGCGCCGCAGGGACGACGGTCGCCATGAACACAGAGGCGGCGATGATGGCGTGAGTGGACGCCATGGCTCTGATTTCATGGTCCCACATGGTGGAAAGCGGCGAGGCTCGGGGCAAAAGGAGACCAAGACGAGAGAGGGAGTTTTAAATGAAATACTTTAAAAGGTTAATCCAGCAACCGATGCTCAGAGGAGGTTTAATCCATGGCTGAGTTTTCCCCGGCTTCCGTAAACATGGCGTAACAAAGGCTTCCGCTTGGACTTCACAATAAAAGTCTAGTGGTGAGTGTCACTCACTGAGTGACGCAAAAGGCACGCTTATCTCAGGTATGAAAATAAATAAATAAAATAAAACAAAACAATACAACATATTACTATTGTATTTAAATGATAGCATACGTCTTTGCTTTTAAGGCCAGCCAAGAGACGCCCATTTAAAATTGCTCCCTCAAATAGTTCAATTATATTTGTGAAAAATATGACCTTGAATGTAACCCCTGCAAGAGTGAGTCACCTTCAGTCGTGTTTTAATTTGAAGAAACCATAGAAGCAAACAGGAAGTATATTTTTGTAGGTTACCTAGAGTCGTTAAATAAATGGTTGAATAAATATTTGGTTAAAAGGTCAAAAACATTACCCCTTAGCGTAAGAAAAATACAACCGTGAGAGAATGCAAAAGTGATTAAATATGTACTTGTGATGCCACGGGGATTTATTGGGTCTGCCTTGGCGCAACACAATATTTTATTACTGAGATTGGGATTTAAATGAAAATAAAAGGCCAAATATTGGTACCATTCACTGAGGTTTGTAGGATAAATATTAGATTATGTTGATCATTTTGAGTTTTACATTACATTACATGTCATTTAGCTGACGCCTTTATCCAAAGCGACTTACAGCAAGTGCAATTCTTATGCATGAGAATACAGACCCAGAAGAACACAAGTGCAGTTTCATCAAATAAGACGATTTACAACGAGCCATAATGGGGTTTTCTCCCTACTCCATCTCGAAGTACTTATATTTATTTTATATTGCAAGAGATCATTTGTTTTATTGACAGTTTTCTGTTCATGCCGCGTTTACCATTATGTGTTGCTGACAGTATCCACGTTCTTAATCTTTTGACTCTTAAAATAAGACATTCTGTAGATTTACTCATTGTATCTACCAATAATAATAATGTAATGTTTTAACGTATAAAACCTAAATAGTTGATCGTGTATTACAGACGGTTAATTCGTGAGTAACTGTATTGTTAGAGCACTTTGAAAGGCCCCTCGTCGAGTTTCTGTCTGTCTTGACGCGGCGCTAAATACTTGACGTCATTGCTTAACCTTATCCAATAGTCTCTGCCTCAACCCAATATGAAGGGCGGGACGTTTTACTGGGTTTTCTGTGACGGACGGCAGTATCGGCCAATGCAATTTCAGAATGTTTCAGTTTTGACCAATCAATGTGCGTCAAGTACGAAAGACGACGAAACGACCGGAAGTTTACAAACATTGACCTAGCCAGCTAAAATTCACCTAACATTTTTATCTGAGCAACCGCTGAAAAACATCTGTTTACAAATAACAGACAAGAAAATGGTTTGTGAAAAGTGTACGTATCGAATTGTTAAGGTATTGTCTACATCTAAATCTAACCTATCTTGTGCTATTAGGGAAGTCGTGAGTTATTTCGTAAGCTAACTTGCTAGCTAACTGTTGTCGTTGCTGTCCTCCTCGTTGTTTTGGTCTGTAAACACTAACTAACCCTGCCCGTTAGACATGTTATTGTCTCTACAAATTGCGTGTCACTCATTATTTCAGGCGAGAAGAAGCTTGGTAAAGTCATCACACCTGACACTTGGAAGGATGGCGCACGTAATACAACAGGTAAATTGAGCACTCAAATTCCAAGAAAATGTGTTTTGGGACTATGCGTGCTGCGGTTTATAGTGCGCGGCCACATTCGGATAAAGCCCCTCTCCCGAAAACCGTACGCTCTCTGGTGAGATCACCTTCAGGCTTTAGGATATTAATTGTTTATTTATGCAGATGCGCATGAAATAAATGAGTTTTTACCCATTAAAGTCTCCAGAATATATTTGAAATGTTGTACATTTGTTTTTTGCATAGACAGGAGCGAGTGTCCTTGATCTGTTAACCGTGATTATAGACATAATCCTGTTTATATGCTTTGGTTTAATTTATAGATGTCCATTGGTATTGCACATCCAATTAAATACAGAAAACTTCTGAACAAAGCAGAGACAGTTCTCAGAATGCCATTAATCTGTTAATTCATCGTTTTCGCTATAAATTGCAAGATCACCCCCTGAAACATTCCCATGCAAATTTCCAGAGCCCATTGTGACATTCAAAAGAATGAATTTTAATCGACAGATCCACAACAACTGTCCCCCAAGTTAGGAACATCTGACTTGATAATGATTGTGATATTTCATTAAGTTCCTTCTGCTTCTTTCCGTTTCAGAGGGTGGTGGCCGTAAGCTAAATGAAAACAAGATGCTGACCTCAAAAAAAGCAAGGTGAGGGTTTGTTAATGTCTGAATGCCCCATACAAATATTTTTTATTTACTCATTTATTGTGGTAATTTATTTCCTGCCACCGGCATGAATAAAACACTAGTTAAGCTACTGTATTATATCTCCCTCTCAGGTTTGACCCGTACAGCAAGACAGGCTTTGCTACCTGCAGAATCTGCAAGAGCTCAGTTCATCAGTCTGGATCACACTACTGTCAGGGCTGTGCATACAAGAAAGGTATAAACTTACTTCCCCTGGACTTCATACTGAACAAAAAAGAAGAAAAACTGAGTTGGCAATTTATTCACAGATGAAACTAAATCTATGTGGCAACATATATAGTCCAAACAAGGCTGTCATCACCGAGGGTATAGCTCTCCCATAGAAATGTCTTCAGTACAGTAGTAGTTTACAGAATTTAACATATCTATATCGGGTCGAGTAACAAACATCACTTTCACTAGTTGGAACACCTAAATAGCAAAAAAAGACCATCTTGTCTTTATGTAGTTATCTAGATAGTTTTGGGTTCTTCTGGACAGGTTCTAATTTTGCAAAACTATATTATGTTATTATTGTATTTGCAGCTATTCTGCACTAACCCCTCATGACCAAAATGCATTTTCACAAGAAATACAATCGGGTTGAGGTTAAGAAGCAAAATCTAGTAAATTGTCCTTTCCATGCTGCGTAATTTGTGTAGTAGAGCGCTGACCCCTGATGTTGCTTTTCCCTCGAAACTAACCTTTTTTTTTTTTTTAAACGCTTTTCTTTCTATCCTTATTTTATACTCCGTAGGAATCTGTGCTATGTGTGGAAGGAAAGTTTTGGACACCAAAAACTACAAACAGACATCAGTGTGACAGCGTGACCATCGGTGAACAGTTCTACGAGTGAATAACTGATGTGACAACGAGATGGAAGTTTATTCTCGTCATCATTCCGCTGTAGCTCTTTTGCGTTCTTTTTCCCACCTTTTGTGAAAGAGAGAGATTTGCAGCTGGCTATGCACTCTTATTACAGAATATCATCGAATGCAACTGGAATTATTACAGTAGCCATATACAGGGAAGCGCTGTTGGATCCAAATACACAACCAGTCACCACCTGTTTCACAAGTTCCGGCTTCTAGTTTTCTTTGTATATTTAAAATCAACCGCTTGCGGTGTGATTCTTTGCTCTTATAAAGGGTTGTTTTCTGTATGTATTATATCAAGTCCTGCATTTTTTTAAACTGAATTAAACCATTCAATATGAAGCGCGTGTGACAGGATACTCTTTTGCCTCTGCATGACGCCATAACTGTTATAATTTAGCCTCTTGCGCACAACATACTCAGATTTGTCCTGTACGCTCGTAGTAATTGGTTTACTCTTACATAACTGTATTTGCAAACAGCACACTGTTCTGTCAGGTGTAACGCCCCCCCCCCAACCATTCATATCACAGATAAAGATCATGGTTCACAGGTTGTCTGGGAACAGACTCCTCCTTTCATGTTAAAGGCCTTGCTCTGCCTTTACCCATATGTGCACACACTTGTTTTTATTTCCCATTATAGATTTATGTTGTACCAATGCATACATTGGTCTCCAGCTAATATGTAATTTACTGTAGGTCATGTTAGGATGTAGCGAATTACTGTATAACCTTGCAAAGGAAATTATTAGTAAGTGGTTTTCTTTGGTTAAATGTGACTTCAACTACAACCAGTTATACAATCATAAAGGTCCTCTAGTCTGCTTTATGATTATATAACTGGCTGTTGTTGTCACTGACCTTTTGCTCTTGTTATTCTGTGTCGTGGTGCATTCAGGGACATCAGTATTGTATTCATTTTTAGCTCAACAGTCATCCATAGCTCCCTCATGTATAGGAAATATAATGGTCTCACTTGCACTCTGAATCCTGCATTAGTGTGTAGTACAACATGGAAACGGTGTTGTTTGTAATTCAATTAATTAATTGAACAGTTTTCTTGCCTGCCTGCTTGTGAACATACACAAAGGCTGAAAACATTTTTTTTAAATTCTTTTATTTAAGCAAAGACTCTTCAAGATCATCATCAAAAAAAAAAGTCATACATTACAAAGACTTTATAAATGACAAATAGTGAATAAAATGATGCATATATATTGATTGTAGGATAATAAAGTGAGGGATGGTAAGATATCCACTTTGAGAATGCACCAATGACATTCCCATTTTTAAAAAGTCAGTGTTGGCATGCGCCACATCAGATTTCACACTTAATAGCAACAACATTGCAATGTAAGACTTCAAATGTAAAATATCTACCAAAGGCACCAAGAATTGGAGTATAATATTTTCTATAAACTTCACAGTGATGGATTTCTGCAGCAGGAGTGAAATCCTCCAGTTTGGATCGTGCATCAAACGGCAGCATTATGTTTGCTGTTATTAGCCGTCAGACGGCGATCTACTGTTACGCCGGAGCTTTACGAGGTGCGACAGAAGCCCTGCATGGAATGACACCCGTTAGGCGCTCTTTGACAGAGACAAGAACTCTTCCCTGGTTTTAGGGTCCTCCAGGTAAACCCCCAACATGGTGCTCGTCACTGTGCGGCTGTTCATCTTCTGGACACCGCGCATGATCATACACATGTGCCTGCAAACGGACACCAATGGCACAAGCCGTTTATTATTGAACACTGACCTTTTTATATTTAAGGTGTGTGTGTTAACTTTAAATTATAAAAAATGATGATGAAATTCCATTCATTTGTGTACTTACGCTGCTTCAATAACCACAGCCACACCTTTCGGCTCCAGAGCCTGTGATATTCCCACAGCAATCTGCTTGGTTAGACGCTCTTGAACTGAAAGAGACAAAACATGTGAACATGATGCTACCAGATTGCACTCAAATTATGGGGGAAACGTAAAAAAAAAAGTAGAAAAGGACTTTTGATTATATGCACATCCAGTTATTTATGTGTCCGCTTACCTTGGAGCCTCCGACTGAAGATCTCCACAATCCTGCACAAACAAGAGGGGAAGGATTGAAGATCAGGCATAATAATGATTAATCGTTTGTTAAACAGTCCCTGACTCTCGGCCTCTGCTCCGGCCATCCAACTGTACATCATCTGTGAATGATTCACAGTGCAGAACTCTGATTGTGTCGTGCAACAACAGCAAGGAAAAAAAGGACATTGACTCTTTTACTGTTATTCTGGGTTCGTATGTTCAGAGATGGTGTGATATTTTAGGAAAGGGAGGAAGAAGGAGACAGACAGAGCGGCTGTGATAATAGTGGTCATTCCCACAGGTCTGAAGGGATTTTCTCATGGTTTTCGAGAGCGGATAGAGTTCAGACTGTCAGGGTGCTTGATGAGGGGAGTAGATGATGGCCACTGGGCTTTGACTTAATCCTACAGGTCAATGCGGTGAACTAACAGAAGAACGCAGCCACCCGGCAGCAACGCCAGAAACACAAAGCAACATTTGCGGCGGCAGGGTGCGATGTGTGCGTGTGTTACCTTGCCAGCTTGCTCAGCCCCACCACTTTTTTGTTGGGAATATATCCGATGTGAACCTGGAGAGAATGGTGATAAAAATGAGAAATGCTCACCTTAAGACACTGCACACTTATGAAGTTTCAGTGTATGCTTTTTTATTATCAAATCAAATGCTAACCTTACGTTTAGAAACACACACACATGATTTAATATTAGCTTTTGGCTGAAAAACCACCTGCACACATACAAGCTGTAGATTGTTCTTAAACAAGACGAACACACACACACACACACACACACACACACACACACACACACACACACACACACACACACACACACACAGTCTTACCTTGCCAAAAAAGGGAACCAGGTGATGTTCACAGAGTGAAAACACGTCTATGTTCTTCACAATCACCATCTCATCGTGGTCTTCATCAAATATAGCGTTGTTTAAGATGTCTGGAGGATTACAACACACGTTTAAACGCTAAAAGAAACCAGTAAAATATCCACCTCATCGTTTTTGAAGGAACTTGCTGTAAACGTATATGGACTCAGCTCTCCTGGCTCTAAATATGTGTGTTGATTCATTTCTAAATCAGGGTTACATTTACATTTAGTGCCTATGGATGGAGACAAATATATTGAAGAGACGATATGAATGAAATCCGATGGAGGTTTCTTTTTTTTCTTTTTTTTTTAAAGAAGAGAGGTCATATCACGTTGGTCCATCTCCCACCGAGAGTAACCCGTTGACTCACCCTCGATGGTTTCGTGGTAGCCCTTGGTGAGGAACTGCATGGCCTTGGCTGCGCGCAGCGGCGTGCGTAACAGCCCCTGGCGGCCCGCGTCCTCTCCGAGCTCCCGCAGGATGCTCGCGTAGGCGGCCTCGAGCGCAGGTAAGCGGCACTCGTCCGCGTCCTCTTCGCGGGACGTCCCGTGCTGGCGGTGCTCGGCGGACTTCTTGGTGTCGATGACGAGGCCGTTGAAGCTGTTGTTGCGGTGGAACTCCTCCACGGTGTCGTTGACCTTCCCGTTGCTGTGACCGTTCATGTCGGAGGTCTGTTGGGGTTTTCTTTTCTTTTTTTTCGTTCTGTTTTGTTTCTTCTTTCTAGCTCTGGAAGAAGAGACGGAAAGATGCGCTGAGTCCCGAAGCTGTGGTTGTCTGCAGGTCCCCGGAGTTCGGTCTGGATCCCCGTGTGCTCACCGCGTTTATAAAGACTAGAACCGGCGCCTCGTGCGCATTGTTTGTCAAGTTGCCGCCTACGTCAAAACCTTCATTCTCGTCAGCAGGTTACATGTCATCACCCCCCCCAGCCCCCCTCGTCCCCTCCCTCCAACCCGTGCAGGCGAGTTCTGTTCATCACTTGACACGTAGTGTATCATTGTCCCTCTCCAGCCATTCGTTCTGAATATCTTCCTTATAGAGAATGGACTGATTGTCTTCCTTTCCTGCTGGTCTGTGTCTGCTTTCATTTACCCCACTGTAGTTAGTGTGCATGATGTGCATTAATTGCCCTGCAGGTAGAAGGGATATTTTCAAATAGTGGCCGCAGTTCAACGCTGTTTTCAATCTGTGTTACATTACATTACATTACAGGTCATTTAGCAGACGCTTTTATCCAAAGCGACTTACATTACACTTAAAACCCATGGCTTTTTCACATTTTTGCCTGGGGAGCAATTAGGGGTTAGGTGTCTTGCTCAGGGACACTTCGACATGGAACATGGGGCAGCCTGGAATCGAACCACCAACCTTGTGCTTCCCAGTTCGATTAATCGTTCACATTGCGATCAAAACATGGCGTCCATTACAATTTTTCGAACACTACAAACCACAAACAGAGCACACAAAAGCAGCAAATCCCCAGAGGAATCTATTGCTAGATTAATTAAATTAAAAAAAGAACCAGAATAAGTATTGTGTTACTTTTGTTGTTTTTGCTTTGAATGTACTAACACAGCTAAACTCCAAACGAAGACAACTTAGCTGGAATTTGGTACAATGTGTAATCTCGATGAAGGAAATAAATATTGATACAGTAAACTGTTGGAAAAACTGAAATAATGTTTCACCTCAAGTCTGTGCTTTTTTGCACAGAAGCAGATTGTGTTCCGGGTCATCTGACAATGAAGATATTTGTGCGTCAATGTTTACAATCTTGTGGTGCCAAAGATGATTGTCTAAAGAGTGTGTGATGTGTGATGACTGATGGAAGTTATGAAAGTGGATGAAGGAAGGTTTTAAAAGTGAAGTTGCAAAAATTCTGAATGTCAAAGATGGAAACGTTGTGTAAGGGAATGGGAAGACTAATATGGTTGACATGGTTTTATTCATACGAGGATGAAATGAGTGGATCTTGAAGTGGACTCCGCTTCGCCTCGAGCTGTGATTTCCCTCCCACCACACCACACCAGACCACACCAAGGATGAAGAAGAACCATCATACAGCCCCATCAATGAACAGGCCTGGGTGATCTGAACGAGAGACGTCAGGGGAAGAACAGCAAGGAAACCAGGACTCCTTTGGCGAGTCTGAAGATCCACAGAATTAAAGAGAACTTTTCCTCCTTTGGACGTCACCATGAAATTGAAACGTCAAGGAAGCAGAACTTTTTACAAGCTGACGAAGTAGCGACCCCTGACGAGAGCAGCAGAGGAGCTGTACCAGGGACAAAGAAAGAAGACGAAATATTGATGTGGCAAAGACCACATCAGCTGAGAACGTTGTGTGTGATCCATGGCAACGGGGTCATCGGAGCCAAAGAGGGAGGGCTCTCATCGGCGGTGGAGGAGGGGAAGGAGCAGGGGGCGGGACATACTCCTGTGATGGATCAACACGCACACACGTACACGCACACACACACACACAGGCCCAGTGGGGATGAGTTAACTTTAGTTTATGATTTATAGATTTGCACAAATAACATGCACACACATCCTTTCAGTAGAATGCTGGAATCACAGTTCACAGAGCATCTTCATCCCCTAACCGATCATATCGAGGCCTCAATGGCCTAATTTGAATACAATTCTGACCCCAGATTATAAAACAATAACGATTTATTAATCGGAAATTGCGATAAGTGATGAAATTCTGTTTTGGTTTCATGCAACCATTCAAGTTAAGTCATTTAAACATTATTTTATTTTATTTATTTAATTAGCAGTTACACTTGGTATATGACTTGTATGTGTGTCAATTCTGTCTTGCAAACATTAAATATCATGTTCAATGATTTTACACCGGTGTCAAGTAAAAACTATATATCTTGTACACACAAACTCACGACAACATGAAATTACTGCTGAATGAGAGACAATGTTTTCCTTGATTGAAGGCAGAAGCTGTTTGCACGTGTCATAAGAATTGAATTGGATGAAGCCTGCAGCAGTTAAAAACAGAATATCAAGGTGAATCTCCACGATGGTGGAGAGGGAAATATTTCTAGGTCAAGCAAGGAAAAATACAAGTACACCGAGAAGACTACGTTAGTATTGAAAAGCTTCTGTGTTTCCTGATCCTTTCCTGCCTTATTTAAGTTAAAATGCCACTAGCGATAATCTGCTGATGCGGCTGGGAGAAAAGTCTGGGAAGGTGAAACTATTCATCCTGTGGGGACCTTCTCCACCTCATGGCTATCGATCCACTCGTTGTGATCAACTGACAGACTGGCCGTTAAGTGGTTGAAAAGTTAATACAAGGCGGGGAGGATGGAGGAGGATTAAAGGCTGGCTGAAACAAATCTGAAACAACAAATCTGAAACAAATTGCCTGTGATGGTGAATAAACAGCTATTTACTGAAGAGAATCAAGTTATCACAGCAAACAAGTACAGCTGTGCCGGCCAGCTCATGACAACTTTTATCTCCTGCAAGCCAAATTCTGTCTCTTGATCCTGAATAGTTCTTATTCAACTATGATTGATTCAGTTTGAAGACTTGCAGCCGAAATGTTAGACTGTGTGTCAGGTGCCAGGTTTGGTCCACCAAAATGTAAACTCTCACTTAGTCCCTTCACTTCTAAATGTATATTTGTTGTGAGACGTGGCTGAATAAGGCTGAGTGTTGCACGATGGTTTCAGATAGTAATCTGGTTTCAGTTAGTAATCCCAGACCATGGGGAAACTCGAATCACCAAACTTGGATTAGCACATAGGCACAGGAGGTGCGGTGATGATATGGTGAGGATAGCCGGGTAGATATGATGCAGACTGAGATAATGATAAGAAGCCAGCGTGCTGACTGGAATCAAAGGAGTTGAATGCAGTCAGGTGTGTACATCTAACAGGAGAGCCAGCGGGGCGGCTGGGATATTTGGAAGTCTGAAGGGAAAGGTCATTGAGATCAGATGGTCGGTAAAGGGCATTATACATTTGCCAACATGCTGGTGGAATGATACACGGAATCATGTCATGTCAACTGATTGTTTGTAAGGCCGCGTCCTCTGAAATGGTATTTTCTACAGCATCCTGTGAAGTACCACCCTGGATAAACCAAACTCACACGCACATGCACTCATCTTTTGTCCTGGAAACCTTTAGCTTGAGCTGTTGCTGATGACATTAGTCTTGCGGTTTCTTGGAAACTTGATGGCCACACATGTTTTTACAGATTCTGGAAAAAAGGGAGTTGTTATTCTCACATGCAGGCATGGAATGGACCTCTATGTTTTACCGTTAAATCAACAGCTCCCACTGTGTCTGTGACATTTACCTCAGCTGATGAATTTAATTATTACTTATTTTTTTACACACCCTGAATTTATGCTATACATGCCAACATCATATAATACCACATTGTACTCGCACAATATAATCACAAGGTCATGGTCATTTATGTGGACAGTTATATGAAGGCTGTAGGTTTTTATAGTATCTGGTAGTGATTCACCAAACATGTAATTAAATATAGATATTTCATTTAAAGATGAAAAATCTTAAGATATTCCTGTATTACGTGGGTTTCTGCTCTTTTTAACAATCGTTTTTCGGATTTCTAAAGCCATGAAACGACACATTCTGATTCTATAGTCGGCGCTAAGCACCTTTTCACGTTGCTTTACCGCCTGCAAAAAAAACACAGCGAAGAAGAAGAAAAACGTCGTTTCCGGTTTGCTCGCGCCGCGACACCAGCGCGGGAGATTCCAGCATGGCGGTGCAGCCGAAACACAACCTGTCTCTGGACAGTGCGGCCGAGCACGGCTTTCTAAGCTTCGTTTTCTCCATGCCGGAGAAGCCGGACACCACTTTCAGGATATTCGACCGCAACGACTACTACACGGTTCACGGGAAGGACGCCGTGTTCGCGGCGAAGGAAGTTTTCAAGACGAATGGGGTCATCAAATATTTGGGCTCAGGTAATCCTTTCCCGTGATGAATAGCTCGGGGTTAGCTAACGTTAAGTTAACGTTAAGTCAGCGGAGGAGCTAAGCTAGCTACAAATGCAATTAGCCGCGGCCCTGCTACGTACTGCTGTTAGCTTAACGTTGAATGGTCGCGTTGGTCCACAGGGAGCCGCAGGCTGGAGAGTGTGGTGCTGAGCAAGCTGAACTTTGAGGCCTTCGTGAAAGACCTGCTGCTTGTGAGGCAGTACCGAGTAGAAGTGTACAAGAACCACAGCAAGAGCAGCAAGGAGCACGACTGGAAGGTCGACTACAAGGTACCGTGTTGATGGGCGAGGAGTCTGTTAAAGAGCTCTTTATGATTTTATAATTAGATTCAGATTGCATTGTACAAGGTGTTTGCTGTACCTATACAAACATATACATGTCATGGACCTTAGTCCTAAAATGTTAAAAACAGATGGCATTGAAACAGGTTCGATGGTCTTGTTGACGTTCATCAGGTGTTCAGAACCAGGATCCTAAATAGAGGATGATGTTGCTTTCCTCAAATGCTGGATGTGTAAGTAACAGGTATACCATATTAAATTAAAGGCGAGTCTCCTTTCACTCTCAGGCCTCTCCGGGAAACTTAACTCAGTTTGAGGAGATCCTGTTCGGTGGTGGAACCGGCGCAGTCGGTTGCACGGGAGTCGTAGCCGTGCGGTTCGCCACCGGAGCCGACGGACAGCGAGTGGTCGGGGTCGGCTACGTGGACGCGGCCCAGAGGACGATGGGAGTGTGCGAGTTCCCCGACAACGAGATCTTCTCCAACCTGGAATCCCTTCTGGTCCAAATCAGCCCCAAAGAGTGTCTGTTGGCCCAGGGCGA